TGTCGTTAAATTTACCAGAACTAATTAGATTAAGAACCTCTGTGTGGGCTCAGTTTAAACAAAAAGCATCATTTCTTAATTGAATAGCGGCACGTGTGCAAAGACAAACCGACGTCCAAAAGAGCATCTTTACAGAGAAAGGCCAAGCCTTATTAACGAAAAACAAATAGCTTTTGTAAGCCCAGTACATTCTATAACAATTCAAAACCCACTACTCAGTGACAATAATAATTAAAATATATTAAAATAGCAATGCTTGATGATTCATTAACGTTCCTTATTCGATAAAGGTATTTTCATTTTGGTATTAACTTATACCCCAAAATATCGTTTTACAATAGCCACAGAGTAATCCACGTAAATTTTGTTTGTCTTAGTTTTACATAATAGGAAGTTTTGTATGTGCTGGCCGTTTATAAGATCTACTTGTTATTAAAAGCCGGATGAAGAGTTTGAACATAGTCGTGTTTGGTCCGACGGTTTGATGGCCTTGGCATAGGTAATTGTTGCCACTGTCTTGAGCACCGTTCAGTTCGTGGTGTAGAATTTGTGGTGAAGAAAAGAGTTCTTTTGTTATGACTTTCTTGTTCCTCGAAACTGTTATAATGTTCACCGGTTTAACATTTGCCGCAAGTACACTTCCTTGTTCATCTGCGAGATTATTGAAGACTGGATTATCATAACCGCTTAAGGTGGCTCTGTCGCTAAAAATACCGGTGCATAAAGGAGTCGTTACCATCCCATAGCCTGAATAATACGTCCATCACAGTGAGTCAATCGTTGTCCACTAAAGATTTTTTTTCTGTTTGAAACACTACCAAATCATCATTTGCAATTATTTGTGTCCTGTGATGTCTGGGTCATCATAGCCTGTTCCAGGCTCCCAAGATAGTGGTGAAAAGTCGTTCAGTCAAAAGGTGTAAAAAGAAATGCGAAAAACGGGCGGGGGTTGGGGAGAGACACGGCTCTAACTTTTTCCCGCCACCACCGCCCCCCTTCCCAAGTCGCGCGCGTCTTATTTTCGCTCTGCTCGTTTTAGTACGTCCCCACTATACTATCTGAGAGCCTGGCACGGGCTATACAAATGGTAAACGCGATTCCGGGATGAAAGTTACCAGTCCTGACCTTTGCGAACCATTTAGCCAAACTGTGAACCGACCGGTTTGCCCATGTAAATGGTAAACAACCATTGTCCACAGGGGCTCTTCACCTCGTTCGTTACTTTTCTTCGCGCCACTTTTTCCCCGCCCGTTTAGACTTTCCCTTGCCCCCATTATCTGCCCCTGGGTGTCCGAAGATGAGACGCTAACTGTAATAACAAGGTAGCAGAGGTAACAAGGTAACTGAGGTAACAAGGTAACAGTGGAAACAAGGCCCAGGGGGGTGAGGGGTACTTTAGAAATTTTTGGGTGGGGTTGTGCCGCTGGGAGCCTGGAACCCTTAGCCTATACCAGAGCTCGTTCAAGTGAATTTTGCTACCCTATACTAGGCTAAACTCGCAAATTCCCCCCATCCTAGAGTAGCTGTTTTCCAGAGGTCACAAACACAGTCCAGCCAAAACAAAACCAATTTGATTTTTTCATATTTTTGAATGGCAATTCCCGGTACGATTTCCCTAGTCTAGACTCAAATCTTCAACCAATTGATCAGTTTCCTGGAAAATGATGCCCTATTCTAGACCTAAACTCTCTGATTTATATACCCTATCCCAGAGTAAACTGCTTGAAAACCATATCCTTTACAGCGGCACATACCTGTATAGCCTGTATATGGCAGTAACTCCCCCCACGCCCAGGTAACAAGGTAGCAGAGGTAACAAGGTAACAGAGGTAACAAGGTAGCAGAGGTAACAAAGTAACAGAGGTAACAAGGTAACAGAGGTAACAAGGTAACAGAGGTAACAAGGTAGCAGAGGTAACAAGGTAACAGAAGTAACAAGGTAACAGAGGCAACAAGGTAACAAGGAAACAGAGGTAGCAAGGTAACAGAGGTAACAAGGTAATAGAGGCAACAAGGTAGCAGAAGCAACAAGGTAACAGAGGTAACAAGGTAACAGAGGTAACAAGGTAGCAGAAGTAACAAGGTAACAGAGGTAACAAGGTTACTAATGTAATAAAGTAACCGAGGTAACAAGGTAACAAATATTGGTAACAATGTATTAAACTGAATTAAGAAAGTGAACGAAGGTAACAAGGTAACTGAGGAAGCTAGGTAGTAATAAAGAATTTGAGAAAAGAAAATAACAGTGGTTAATCTACTACGCTTTTCACCTACGGTTTACCTCGTAATCTTTATTCAAGTTCAGCCTGAGCTGATGCTCGGGACAATTTGTGCCTAGTTAACATGACCCAAATAATGATAGGCACATTTCAAGGGGCTACGCGGAATTTCTGAACTTTCAAATCGGAATTTTTGTTGAATGGAAAGCCTCCCACATCGCCTCCAACAAAATTGCCACCAGGAAGTCAACTTGCCGCCAACCTCGTTTACAGATCTAGAGTCCCACGCACATAATTTTAGATTTAGTCATCCAATAAACATGTTAGGAAACATACATTCCAATTTATTTCTAACCTCAATTTCCACTGCTTTCTATCGAGTCCCATCTTTGTTCCACCCTACCGTCTTATTTATTTCCCAAACAGCAGCTGGTAATTGAACCAACATCATTTCTCAAAACTAGACACATCTCAACTTTCTTTTGCTTATCCTCAGTTAGTATTTATTGTACAAAAATGCTACTAGGGTATAGCATTTAAGTGGGGGCTCGTAAGGAATAACAATTATTATTTAACTAAATCATTGGACAATGCAATTTTAGAGCTCTGATTGGCTTAGCGAGGGGGGCGTAAGGGTTTGCGGTATTGCGGTATTGGGTCATTTTTGGTGCGGTGTTGCGGTAATTTTTATTTCAAAGTACGGTATTGCGGTTTTCAGAGTCCAAGCGGTTTGCGGTAAGTTTAAATTTTACGCCGCGGTAGTCGGTGAAAAAATCGTTGTGTCGCGGTGATCTGCTTCTTTTTCACGACAAGAGGATACAAATCCTAAAAGGTCTCCCTGGCTAGCCTGCGTGACCTGTGTGCACAATCGGGGATTGTATTGCGCAAACAGTGCAGACAAATCGTATGGCTTCTAATTTCAGTTAATACTTGATATGATTAACGACATTAACTTTTTCATCCAATGATACTTAAATATGTCACATTATTTATGACTTCATGGACCTTGTGGGAATAGTCAGCTTGGTTCACCTCCTTTATACCAATCTTACCACCACTTTCGTGCCAGTCGCCAAACAATAGAGAGCGATCCAGAGGGTCAACTAAGAGATCAGTCAGATATTCCAGCAAATAGTGAGGTCAGTGGTGAGATCGTTATAAATTGCGTAGTGTCGAAAGATAATCTTTGAAGATGGTGTGGTCTGAAAATTACCACTTGTCCTTCTCGTTGTGCATGCAGGAATATAGAATGTCATAGTATTCGTGTGTGCTTACCCTACGTAGCATAGCAGCCCGGGGGGGGTGGTGGTGGGGGGGGGGGGGGGTACTTCCTGATAAGAGGCTAATGAGGATGTGCCGCTGGATGGGGTCGCATTTTCACGACTGGATTGACTATAATGGGGTCGCATTTTCAGAGACTATTTTTAGAATGGGGTCGCACATTTTCTACTTTTTTGGGGTAAGACAGTTCTTCATATTTACGGTTAGCAAAGGTACCAGAATGTTTGTATTGTAGACGAAAAGTAAACAAAGTGACGAAGTTGGGATCGCGAAAATTAAATATTTGTTCAAATGACTAAGATGGGGTCTATAATTGGCCACAGAATAGACTGTAATGGGGTAGGGGCTCTGAGAGGCCAGCGGCACATACCAACCAAATATTAACCCAAGTACCCCCCGCCCCCACCCCGAGCATGGCAGTTTTACATGGTTTTGTCGGCAGCACCACTGTGAGCGGCGAAGCAGCTCCTGCCCTAATCTCCTCGCCCGCGCCCGCCTTATTTCGACTTATTATTTAGCGCGCCTAACCAAAACCGCCATGCTACGCAGGCTAGGGTGTACTGTGTGCCCTTCGAATCCAAAAGGCAGCCCGGGTCGTCGTTTTGAAACCCTCAACACAGAACCGAGCCAATTGTGAATCTGAAACAACCTCATAAGAGTCAACTGTTTTCCGTCCGTTTATGATCCAGGTCAGTAAGTATTTATTCGATTAACCGCCCTGGGCGCTTATTAAATTTTTGGACCTTGAGAGTGGGCGCTTATTCGAGGCTGGGCGCTTATTAAATTTTCACCATCTTCAGCAAGTGAAGTATGTCTATTTTGCAACAAAACAATAAATGCTAATAACAAAACGCGAAGAAGTAACAAAGCAAGGTTTCTGTAAAATACTCTGAAGAAAACTCCGTCCTCGGGGAAGTCTCCTATTGGAATTTATTTACTCAAGTGGGTGTGGTGGGGGTGAGCGCTTATTTGATTTTGATTGGGAGGAGGAGGGGGTGGGCGCTTATTCGAGGCTGGGCGCTTATTAACTTTTTCTGCCTTTAGGATGGGCGCTTATTCGAGGTGGGCGCTAATTCGAGGTTGGGCGCTTATTCGAATAAATACGAGAAAACTCCTGTTGTATCATTTATAATTACGTAAACGTATACATGTAATAAACAAAGCTAAACGAGTGCGATGATCTTATGTTTATCGTACGCTTGACATCGACGCACCTTGATTTGGAAACACTGACATAAAAGTATTATTTCTATTTGAAAGGAGGATTTGTAGTATTGACAACGTCAACTTTTTCCCATTTGTAACTGCTGTTTCGGTATTTGGCTAAATTTTGATGCGGTATTGCGGTATTCTCGCGCTACCACGTGCGGTATTGCGGTATTCGTACCCCCCTTACGCCCCCCTCCTTAGCCATCATGGTATATGAACCATTATACCACGTTCTCCAAATATGGTAACTCTAGGTGTCTGCTCAAAAGTAAAAACAAGCTGAAGATCGGTTGTTTTTACAAATATTTATTATTTATTAAAGTGGGGAAGAATAATGAATTTTCAATATTATGTGGGCGTTTTTAATATAACAATGTCGATTAAGCCAACTCGGCACTAAGCGTCTCATTGGCTATCTACCATATCATATCCAACACTGACACACTCGTGGTATAATCGTTAATTATAATGTTTTTCTTAATACCAAATAATTAGTCCAATTATAGTCCCTGTGTTCCATTTTTCAAGCCCAATATGTCACCAAACTTGGGTGCACTTTGAATAAAATTAAGCTAAGAATCAAAGTTGGATCTGAACCTTAGATCTCCTTAACCACATAGCCGCCATGCATCCTTGCATCCTTAGTTCATTATGATAGCTGTGGCACAAACAATAACGTCACACATTGAGACTTGCAGCCACATCTTTTGATTCTCAAAATTGAAGCAAGGCACTGAAAAGGTCCAAGGAACAATTGCTTGCAATGCAATTTGCCATCATTAGTCTCTGTGAGATCTTGAAACAGAGATGCAACAAGATTTGCTCTTCATATTTCAAGGGATTTAAATATATTCCTTGCTCTGCTCATTGTGTTTTGCCAAGTGGACTGTTTATAAAATCATTAACTTTGTGATGCTGTATTTGTCCCTTGGTCACGTATAGCTACCAACTGATTTTTAACTGACTTTGTCCTACAGCGTAACAGCTCAAAATCCTGCAAGGAGAAAAAAATAAAGGGCATTGTTAGATTAATCACTGTCACTACTTCACAAAGGAACGTACTATGTGTCACCGAAAAAGCAAATATATGTCACCTTAGTAGAACTTATTGTTGTCTCAAGAAATACCTTGTGATTGGCTAATAATCCCTGAGTAAAATATGCATTCCTTTCATACAAAATCAAAATACTGTAGAAAAGCTCTGAGAAGACCAAGTACAGGCTGAAATATTTTCTCAAGTTTGGCAAGTTTTTCAATATTCAGTATTGAAAGCTATCCATGTCACTAAAAGTTGCTAATAACTTCAGGAACCTTATGATGAGGTCTACAGTTGACTCTTTCTTAACAGACACTTCAAATTAAAGATGGACATCTCTGTAAAACTTCAAATACCTTTTCAGCACCATATGTTGATCCTTCATGTGGCTGACCGGTAGCGACTTGTGTCAGGTATCCAATTTGTTCACTCAGACCTTTCTCTACACCCTACAAAGATGCGAGTCTTTTTAAATTACAAGTAGTTATTCTCCAAAAGATAAAAAGAGCAAGCCACCAGAAATATACAACACCCTTAAAGTGGAACTCAACTTCATGACATACTTGTAACATTATTGGAAGATTGTACTATGACAGTTTCTTATGCTGGCGTCACATATTCACAGGACTGTAGGACTGTTCTGGGATTGAAAGATATAAACTTGACAAAACAGCCAACCTTCTGCAACACCACCACTGGTTTAAATGACATCTTAGGATCAGACTTGGGCTGTCGACTCACGGTCTAAAAATCTCATGATTTAGCCCCAAACCTCATGGTGAATTGAAAAATCTTTAAATTGCCAAACAATTCCGGTATGAATGTTGTGATTCAAAACTGGATCCAATTCAAACCTCATTCCTGTGTTGTGTGAAACATAGGTTATCTACGGTGTGTGGAAAAGCCTTATAGCAAACTCAAACATCCTATCAATGTGGATAGTGAAACAGAATCTGAAACTGACTCTGAGAATTCAAGGCCTCAGCTTCCAAAGAAAAGAAAATCCACGGCTGGAACAGCCAATTAACCTATAACTTTTAAAAGTGAGTGGAGTAAATCATATCTAATAGCTATAGGGTAAAGAATACTATGACAAAAATAATCTTCATTTTTTTGGTTTTATTTGACATATTATTTGGAGAGCTCCAGGTTTGAGGTCCCAATCTCGAGATTTTTGGGGGCTTCCTTTCAAACACTCCAGATTTGCATGGTCTAGGGGTTGGAAGGTCTGCAGGAATGAATGCAGAAATTCCATGCTGATAATGTGTAACAACCCAAATCTGGCCAGTCCTTCTGATTGGTTGGAAATTTGCTTTAATCAATCAGAAGCTAGGGGTGTAACAATTCATATACCTTTTGATTCGATTTTGATTATGGTCTTTCGATTTTGAATATTTTGACTCGATTACCCAATCTGTTGTACCATTACTCACAAAGAAGCTGTAATGTTTCCACACAAATGATTGAAAACTTCCAGGGGGCATCAACTGCACGGCTTTGTTCGGCCATGTTTGAGAACGTGACACTGACAAGAGCAGACACATGGAAACACTCAAGGGGTGGTAGAAAAGCAAAATTTTAACCACGCAACACAAAATGGCGTGTGAACTCCTTCACTCCTCAGTCAAAAACACCAATTAGAAAAGCATTTTATAACAGTGTTATTTTATGAAAGAATAGCTCATTTGACAAAAAAATTTACAAGAGATTTTGACACTAAGGGTTTTTGTAGTTGTATTTAAAGCTATGAGGGCACTTTTCTACTATAATCGAACCAAATTGAAATGTGGAAACAAAGAACCGTTAACTGAACTGAATGGTTATAATTGCGATTAACCAAGATTTCGATTAATCGTTACACCCCTGTCAGAAGCACCACCCAGATCTGGGTAGTGAAACAGCATCAGTATGGAGATACTGGACTTGTTCCTCAGAAGTCATTTCACAGGGCAACCAGTGGTGACGTTGTGACGTTTCCACTGTTTCTCCTCACTGACAGGCTAAAATACTATGAAAGTGAGACGAGACGGTCAGCATTAGAAAGTTATTGATTACCTACATCTACATCTAAAAACTTTGATCTATAAGGGTTTGCTATTACATAGATATTTGTAAGCTGGAGCTCACAGCAGAATGCTGGAGTTCAAACCATGTTATTGGTAGATGGCCACTGACCTTTCGGGGTTGGGAGGGCGGTAGAGAAAGGGGAAGAAACTGTGGTAGGCTTCGATCGACCTAAAATGGCTAATTTTAATGTACTCTCAATTGACCCTTAATAAGGTGGCACGATTACTAGGTGAAAAGAAAAAGAAGGTATAAAGTTTGTACAAACTTTCACCAATGGAATATGCTTAAAGAAGTTGTACAATGTACCTCTAATGATTTCAGAAACTTTGTGGCTGTTGCGTTGATCCGGTCCTCTGAAGGAGCCTCTTTAGAGAGCTCTTCTAAAGTTTCTCCTGCGCTTCTGATCACTTTTACGATATCCTTAAAATGAAATAACATGAAGTAAGTAATGAATTAAAGAAGACTCAAGCCTTTACATGGAAAAACGTTTCTCCTATGGGACTGATTCCACGAACCTTCTCGATCTCTTCTAACTGTCTGAGGCGATCAACAGACTGGGACATTGTAGTCTTCAAGTAAATAGCGATAAAAATGAAAGAAAAATCTGAATACAATTCTCGCAGCGCTGGAGCCAAAACTGTCACGGTATAAGGAAATACATCGTACGTCATGTAACAGCACACCGATTTTCATCACGTGACGTGGAAGATCAACATGTCTGCCTCCTTTGGAAATACTTGACGAACTATCTTACTTTTTGTTGACATTTTACGGTCCGCTAGCAAGCTGGACGGAGAAATGTTCCAGCGCCAGAAGAACTGGATATCTGATATTCTGTGGAAACCCAAAAAGGCTCATTCCTTGGAGCAACTACGGTACGCTATACGTTTTAGGCATAGTCCTTCGATGAGCTGTACTAGTACAGTACTTGAAATCATTATTATTAAAATTTGCTTTCTAAACTTAAGACGTTTTCACTTCGACTGAGTACATAAACACTGTGCTCTCCATATTTAGCAATACTTAATACTGTCTTCGGCTCTTTTTTAAGGAGAAAAGATAAGCTTAATGTTAGGCCCTCAATCAGCTGAACAGCTGACTGACGGCTGAATATTAGTTATATATTCCTTCTGCACTGTTCATTTTCAACATCTATTCCCCTGTCGTTGATTTTCTTCTTTCATTTTTTGTGTGTTAGGTATCTTCATTATATTCTTACCAAGAACTCTACTGTTAACGAGACCAACAGAGGATTACTCGTGGAAACTTTACGTTCAATTGCAGAGATTCTCATTTGGGGAGACCAGAATGATAGCAGAGTATTTGAGTAAGACTCTCACAAACTTTTTAGTACCTTTTAAATATACTTTTGGGAGTAACTGCAGAATACCCTGCCACTTCAAAGCTGTATCCCTGAAAGAGCTGCTTACTTTGATATGCAGTTATCCCTCTTATGCACTTTTCTACCTTCAGTGGCTTTAAGAATGACAATAGTGATACTCTATGCTTTTTATGCTGTCTTAAGTGTATATCAAAGTGGATATGCAGATACGCAGTGACTGTTATTTAAAAGATATTTACTAAGTGGATACGTGGATATGCTTAGTGACAAAGGGGATACTCAGATTCGTAGTGACTGAGTATCTGTGTTTCTGCGTATCCGCGTATCCACCTATTTTTAGGGGTTGCTTTAAAATGCAGGGTATTCAGCAGTTTAGCCTACTTTTGAGTGGTGGATCCAGGGAAAGGCCTCCCCGTGCCTCCTTTTTTTTAAACCAAACTGAGGCCCAAAGGGCCGAAAAAAATTGTTTTTGAGACTGGCCTCCCCCCCTTAACTGAAGGTCTGGATGTGCCACTGCTTTTCAATGCAATACATGTGTCGAATGAAACAATGATGGCAACTTACAATAGATGATATTTCATTCGAAACATGTATTGTAAATTTTAACTGCTGAACCCCATTAATACTAGACTGCGAGGGAGTGTGATATGTCACTATTGGAAGGGTGTTTTGCAGGTACCAGTACAAGTGAAAAGAGAGACTGCCTTGGTTTCATTTGCACTGGCGTCTGCAAAACTCCCTGCTCGCGGCTTCGCTGCTTGAATACTCACATACGCACGGTATCACACTCCCTCACTGATTTTCAAGAAAAAGAGAGACTGCTCGTGGTCTACATTAATACCCATAATGACAGTTAACTACATGTAAGATGTTGTTAATTAGCAATATGCTATGAACATGAGCCTATGAGAACATGTAAAAGTTGGTCATTGTTTGTTCATTTATACTTTATAGTAGAATTGGCATTTTAGGAGGCTTTTAGACATCTTGATAAGGGTGTCGCTATTAAGTGGATTAGATTAAAGCATAATGTTAGAGCTATTTCTAGGTCAAAGAAAAAGGGTGGTATGACTGTACTTTTATGACTAATGCATAAACAAGAACCAGATGTTAAATATAGGATGCATACATTTGTATATAATTTAAGAGTCAAAGCATGTACAGTGTATGCATATTGAACTGATGTCTGGGAACCTGTGTGTGAATTTTCCTAGGAAATTAATCGACTTTCACCATATTGAGTTTATTTTGTTGTTATCCTGGTACTTTTGTGGTGTTTTTGTGGTTACTGGTATTCTGATATTGTCACTAAATAACCCATAGTTTCCAAAGAACATGTACAGGTATACTTATGGGAAAACATTACTTTTTGGGAATGGTAGATGAAAATTTTAACAACAAAAAGCATTGAGAAGTGCTGTCCTTCTGGAAAATGATGTCCAACCTTAACAAGTGCCCAGTTCAAGTAAAGAAATGCATGTTCCATACTTATAGGTTTCATTTAACTTATTGATGTACATAACAGGTTTAGCTATCAAATTATTTGTGTATGGCTTTTTCTGTGTTTAATAATAATAATTATCATTAATTATTATAGCTTCTTTTTGGAGAAGAGCATGCTGCTTTATTTCTTGAAGATGATGAATCAGAAATCCAATCAGATTTGTGTTCAACTTCTCCAGACTCTTAGTATCCTGTTTGAAAACATCAGAAATGAGACATCATTATGTGAGTTGAGTTAATGAGAATAATATTACTGTCAACTCTCTCATAGCGACCACTTCTCGTATTTAGCGACCACCCCCCATAAGTGACTACTTTGAAGATAACCATTTTGTTCCTCACTCAAATACTGTTTTGCAAACTCTCTCGCAAGCGAAAACTAATTAAATTTCATAAGTGACGAAGACCACTTTTTAATACAGAAATTCAACATACTCTTATGTTTTCTGTTTCACATAGGTGACTTGCCAGCATGATCACACATGATTGTAAGAAAACCGTTGGTCAAATGTCAGAAAAGTTCAGTTTTTAAAAGCGCTGCATTTGACTTACAAAAAAAGATGGTTGTAATACGATCTGTAGTTAAAAATGTGGATTGTAACATTGATGCAAAATGTTATGTACAACAGTTTTCAACAGTTCCAAGTGCTATTCAATGTGAAACATTGTTGCCAGTTGGCTGTTTGCTCAAGTTTTAGCTTGTTAAGTAATGATTTTATTTAATCACGTTAATCAGTTCAGTTTCAGCTTATGTTTTTGATTTTTCCCGTAGATGACCACTTCCCATAAGCTATCACTTTGTCGTGCACCAACAGGGGTTGCTTACAAGAGAGTTGACTGTATTCCTAAATGTTTGTAGAATCCCATTTCGAAGTCCATCATTCTTCTTTGTTATAGAGTGCTTTCTCACTTGACCCTTGGTTATGTTGTAGATGAGATCTGTTCTAAGGTAGGCTCGGATAAATTCTGCCGGCAAAATTTTGAGCAGAATAAGCGATTTTTGACGCGAGCATTCTGTGGGGAGAATAAGGCATTTTCAAGCAGAAAATGAGCAGACAAAGGGAATATCAGCGGCAATAGTGATATGCATAACAGTAATTGTAAAAAAAAAAAAAATTAAAACTAAATAAAAAACAACCAGAAAATACCTTGTGATTAATTTGATTATTTAATAGCTACAACACACTCACATTAAAAGTAAGATGAATTAAAATTTTGCTATGCATAATGAATACATGTATCTGATTAGTTTTTAGGGAGTAGGCCCAGGATCCCTTCTATAATTCAGAAAATAAATACGGCCTGAAGGGCCGAAAATTCGAGCATTTGAGCATTCGAGTACAATAAGGGTGTCCAAGCAGAATTTTGAGCAGAATAAGTGATTTTTATGAGCACTGCTGGCAGGCAGAATAAACCATTTTATGAGCAGAATTTATCCAAGCCTATTCTCAGGTCAAACCAGAATTTCCTTTGTCTTCTGTGAATAATTAGGGCTGGAAAAATAAGGAAATTCTGAATCAAACGATGTTGATTACAGTCTTAACTGTTAGATTGGATTTTACCTATACAACAATAATAGTTTATCAGAAAAAAGCAATAAATTGTAATATTATTCATTGGTTCTAAGGTAAGTTAACAAACTGTAGCTAGTTTTGATTCTTGACTTGATTCTTTGATACATGATTCTTGCAAGGAACGAGTTTCAAGAATTGAGAATCTATGGTCAAGAATCAAGTTTAGGATTTAGACTCACAGAACAGCAAACAATAATTCTGTACTTTGATAAATGAAATTGAGAAATGAAACATGATTCTTGTCTTGCTTTATTAGTTTGTGATCATGTGGGAATCCTGGAAAATATGACACTCAAAATTAGCCTTTCTTGTGACCAATTTTTGCTTGATACAATAATTATTATTATTTTGTTTTGAGCAAAAATTGATCAGGGGAAGTAATTTAACTTCAGGGCTGACCCTAAGGGCTCCCCTGGCTATCATAAGCATGACCCTGTTCACTTTCAAAGGGGATAAAAGAAACGTATAACCAAGAGAACTTTGTAGCTGTTCAATTCCTGCTTACTTAATGTATGTGCCAAGCAAATTGATATCTTAGCAATTTAAATCTTCTTCCTGAAACTTTATTTTACCTTTAATATTGGTGTCAGTGTTGACCGCGAGCTAAGTTACACAGTGAGTCAGGAATAGATTCTATGCTCGTAAAATCAAGAATTATGCATTAATAATTAGGTGAAGGTCACATCAAAATCTAGCCATTTATATTTTTTTTCTGCAGACTATCTACTATCAAACAACCATGTGAACTCTATTATCATCCATAAGTTTGACTTCTCTGATGAAGAGGTACGTACGTACCTGTAATGTGTAGTACAGAATAAAGGAAATTATGCGAAGTTCATAAGTAAAGTTTTTCTTCAGACTGTGCCATTTGTTGTTCAGGTTTGGGTCTTCATAATCAATATTTTCAACTGTTATTAATGTGTTCTGTAGAGTATGTGAATACCTCTGAGTTATTTTCTTGGAGTGTATAACAGTCATGGCCTTTCTGTGCTTTATGCACAGTCATATGAAAGTCATTTTTTTTATTTGCACACAACTTACCTTTATAATTATACTGTGTGTTAACAGTACTTTTGTACCATTTCTTCAGGTGTTAGCATACTACATTTCATTTCTCAAGACACTGTCTCTTAAACTTAACAGACATACTGTACACTTTTTCTTCAATGAGGTGAGTTAATAGTTCAGGAGACCACATTTTGGTTTACTAATCACAACGTGAATGAAAAGAAGGTAATGTGTTGTAAGACATTTCTGTTGGTGTTTGTGTCTGGAGAAGCATAACAATTGGCTATAAACTCATCTGGAACTTATGAGAAACACTGCATTTGGATGCCAAATACTCTAGTTTAATTCTAGCTTTTTAATCTGACTACAATAATATTGATGCATAGTCTACATGTACATGTCCCCGTCACTCATAAATATATGGACCATGCCATTAATATACTGTATGTAGGCACTCAACCAGTGGTTTCTTTGTTGTTTTTAGCACAAGAATGATTTCCCTTTGTACACTGAGGCCATCAAGTTCTTTAATCACTCTGAGAGCATGGTTAGAATAGCAGTCCGAACTCTTACTCTCAATGTCTATAGAGGTAATATAACAGTCAGCTTATTTCACAAAAAAAGAACCAAAATTGTATTGTTGTGAAGCAATAATATTATTTTCTTGTATTGTTGGTTTAATATGGCCTAGAAGTTTTGCTCACATTTCTCTGGACAGAAACAAAAAAAGACTTCATCATAGCAGATTTATATTTCTCTAATGTTGAACAGGTTAAATAAATGCAGTAGCAATCTCTAGCGGCATAGTGAAAAATACTGAATTATTTTGTTTTTCAGTTGGAGATAAAAACATGTTAAATTTTATCCGTGACAAGACCGCAGATCCGTACTTTTGGAACCTGGTGTGGTTTATTGGCAATCATGCCATTGAACTTGACAACTGTGTACTTAAGGAGTCTCAGTAAGTTTAACCATCAGGTCACTGCCTTTTTTAATGGAATTCAAGGTACTGTGGCAACTTCAAGATTTTTGCCACATACTCTTTATGATGGAAGAAGCATAAGGTGGGAGGGCGAGAGCCTGAAATTGCCTTCAGTGGTTGACTGCCAAACTGCCTACTTTTTCATTCATGCTATCTACTTTAAAACTTAATGAGAACCTTAAAAGGTGTGTATTGAAAAAAGTGTGATTGAGGGATGTTTTCAAACCAGGAATATGTGTATTGTAGTGTAAGTTTGTGACCAAAAATCTAATAATAAACTGTCTTATTTCCTTTTAGCCATCTTAAATGTGACAGACTGAAGGACTTAGTTGCGGAGCATTTAGATCATCTTCATTACCTCCATGATATTCTGTGTCTCAATATTCAAGATGTAAATGACATTTTAACTGGTCATTTAATCAACCGCTTGCTGATTCCTCTGTATATTTATTCCTTGGTGAGAAAAAGACCAGGCATGGAGCAGGTGAGTAAAAATATGTCATTTCAAGTGGAATTATAAGTGATATGAACAGATAAGCTGCACTTGCGGGGCAGTCACAAAAGCCGGGGACCAGGAATTTCCCCCTGGCTGCTATGAGTGTGACGCTCTGCTAATTTAACCCATTCGCTCCTGGAGATTTTGCCGAAAAACGCGTTTTGAAGCTGGTCGAGTGGTTTTCTGGTCACTGTCGTGCTATAAAGAGCTAAAACTTACCACAAACCGGTTTACAGGTCGTACACTTGGCGGCCTTCTGATCCAGATGCAAAATATCAGCTTGCGAAGTTCGGGCATGCGCAGAAAGCAAAATTTCGACATAGTTTTTGGGTTTAAAAGTGACACAGCAGTCTTGACTTTTACTTTTCGCTTTCTCTCCTCCCTTCTTTTTTCGCTTTTCTTGCCTAATTTTTTTTTTCTCTTGCTGGGCATTTAGTAGGCTTCATTTTGGTGGGAAGAGTTTTTAGGAAAGCGTTTAGGATCTTAGGATTAGGTGAAAGGAAAGGTAGGTGGGTAATGGAACAAGATTTTCATGGAGATTTTCAGGTCCTTGTCACGTGGTTTTTTGCTTCTTTCTCCGGTGTCCTTGACTGAATTGTGCTCATTCTGGTATGGTTTGAAAGATCTCTTCACTCTGCACAAGTTAGCGAAGAAAGTTGTCCTTGACCGTTAAACCTGATGACGTCACAAAGGGTAGAAAAGACCTGGATCCGCACGGGTGGTTACGGGTGGTTCAGGGGCGAATGGGTTAATCAAAAAACCTAAAAATGGCCTTTTACCAACTTTTTCACCTGATTTTACATGAAATAGACAGATTTGGTTGTTTTATGCTGAAAAGTGGATTTTTTCAAAAAGCTTGGTACTCTGCTTAACCCATTCGCTCCTGGAGATTTTTGCCGAAAAACGCGTTTTGAAGCTGGTCGAGTGGTTTTCTGGTCACTGTCGTGCTTTAAAGAGCTAAAACTTACCACAAACGGTTTACAGGTCGTACACTTGGCGGCCTTCTGATCCAGATGCAAAATATCAGCTTGCGAAGTTCAGGCATCGCAGAAAGCAAAAATTCGACATAGTTTTGGGTTTAAAAGTGACACAGCAGTCTTGACTTTTTACTTTTCGCTTTCTCTCCTCCCTTCTTTTTTCGCTTTTCTTGCCTAATTTTTTTTTCTCTTGCTGGGCATTTAGTAGGCTTCATTTTGGTGGGAAGAGTTTTTAGGAAAACTTTTAGGATCTTAGGATTAGGTGAAAGGAAAGGTAGGTGGGTAATGGAACAAGATTTTCATGGAGATTTTCAGGTCCTTGTCACGTGGTTTTTTGCTTCTTTCTCCGGTGTCCTTGACTGAATTGTGCTCATTCTGGTATGGTTTGAAAGATCTCTTCACTCTGCACAAGTTAGCGAAGAAAGTTGTCCTTGACCGTTAAACCTGATGACGTCACAAAGGGTAGAACAACCTGGATCCGCACGGGTGGTTACGGGTGGTTCAGGGGCGAATGGGTTAATCAAATAACCTAAAAATGGCCTTTTACCAACTTTTTCACCTGATTTTACATGAAATAGACAGATTTGGTTGTTTTATGCTGAAAAGTGGATTTTTTTCAAAAAGCTTGGTACTCTGCTTAACCCATTCGCTCCTGGAGATTTTGTTAAAAACGCGCGTTTTGAAGCTGGTCGAGTGGTTTTCTGGTCACTGTCGTGCTTTAAAGAGCTAAAACTTACCACAAACCGGTTTACAGGTCGTACACTTGGCGGCCTTCTGATCCAGATGCAAAATATCAGCTTGCGAAGTTCAGGCATGCGCAGAAAGCAAAATTCGACATAGTTTTTGGGTTTAAAAGTGACACAGCAGTCTTGACTTTTACTTTTCGCTTTTCTCCTCCCTTCTTTTTTTCGCTTTTCTTGCCTCATTTTTTTTTTTTTTTCTCTTGCTGGGCATTTAGTAGGCTTCATTTTGGTGGGAAGAGTTTTTAGGAAAACTTTTAGGATCTTAGGATTAGGTGAAAGGAAAGGTAGGTGGGTAATGGAACAAGATTTTCATGGAGATTTTCAGGTCCTTGTCACGTGGTTTTTGCTTCTTTCTCCGGTGTCCTTGACTGAATTGTGCTCATTCTGGTATGGTTTGAAAGATCTCTTCACTCTGCACAAGTTAGCGAAGAAAGTTGTCCTTGACCGTTAAACCTGATGACGCGTCACAAAGGGTAGAAAAAGACCTGGATCCGCACGGGTGGTTACGGGTGGTTCAGGGGCGAATGGGTTAATCAAATAACCTAAAAATGGCCTTTTACCAACTTTTTCACCTGATTTTACATGAAATAGACAGATTTGGTTGTTTTATGCTGAAAAGTGGATTTTTTTCAAAAAGCTTGGTACTCTGCTTAACCCATTCGTTCCTGGAGATTTTGCCGAAAAACGCGTTTTGAAGCTGGTCGAGTGGTTTTCTGGTCACTGTCGTGCTTTAAAGAGCTAAAACTTACCACAAACCGGTTTACAGGTCGTACACTTGGCGGCCTTCTGATCCAGATGCAAAATATCAGCTTGCGAAGTTCAGGCATGCGCAGAAAGCAAAATTTCGACATAGTTTTTGGGTTTAAAAGTGACACAGCAGTCTTGACTTTTACTTTTCGCTTTCTCTCCTCCCTTCTTTTTTCGCTTTTCTTGCCTCATTTTTTTTTTCTCTTGCTGGGCATTTAGTAGGCTTCATTTTGGTGGGAAGAGTTTTTAGGAAAACTTTTAGGATCTTAGGATTAGGTGAAAGGAAAGGTAGGTGGGTAATGGAACAAGATTTTCATGGAGATTTTCAGGTCCTTGTCACGTGGTTTTTTGCTTCTTTCTCCGGTGTCCTTGACTGAATTGTGCTCATTCTGGTATGGTTTGAAAGATCTCTTCACTCTGCACAAGTTAGCGAAGAAAGTTGTCCTTGACCGTTAAACCTGATGACGTCACAAAGGGTAGAAAAGACCTGGATCCGCACGGGTGGTTACGGGTGGTTCAGGGGCGAATGGGTTAATCAAATAACCTAAAAATGGCCTTTTACCAACTTTTTCACCTGATTTTACATGAAATAGACAGATTTGGTTGTTTTATGCTGAAAAGTGGATTTTTTCAAAAGCTTGGTACTCTGCTTAACCCATTAAGCTCCTGGAGATTTTGCGAAAAAGCGTTTTGAAGCTGGTCGAGTGGTTTTCTGGTCACTGTCGTGCTTTAAAGAGCTAAAACTTACCACAAACCGGTTTACAGGTCGTACACTTGGCGGCCTTCTGATCCAGATGCAAAATATCAGCTTGCGGTTCGGGCATCGCAGAAAGCAAAATTTCGACATAGTTTTTGGGTTTAAAAGTGACACAGCAGTCTTGACTTTTACTTTTCGCTTTCTCTCCTCCCTTCTTTTTTTCGCTTTTCTTGCCTAATTTTTTTTCTTCTTGCTGGGCATTTAGTAGGCTTCATTTTGGTGGGAAGAGTTTTTAGGAAAGCTTTTAGGATCTTAGGATTAGGTGAAAGGAAAGGTAGGTGGGTAATGGAACAAGATTTTCATGGAGATTTTCAGGTCCTTGTCACGTGGTTTTTTGCTTCTTTCTCCGGTGTCCTTGACTGAATTGTGCTCATTCTGGTATGGTTTGAAAGATCTCTTCACTCTGCACAAGTTAGCGAAGAAAGTTGTCCTTGACCGTTAAACCTGATGGCGTCACAAAGGGTAGAACAACCTGGATCCCGCGGGTGGTTACGGGTGGTTCAGGGGCGAATGGGTTAATCAAATAACCTAAAAATGGCCTTTTACCAACTTTTTCACCTGATTTTACATGAAATAGACAGATTTGGTTGTTTTATGCTGAAAAGTGGATTTTTTCAAAAGCTTGGTACTCTGCTTAACCCATTCGCTCCTGGAGATTTTTGCCGAAAAACGCGTTTTGAAGCTGGTCGAGTGGTTTTCTGGTCACTGTCGTGCTTTTTAAAGAGCTAAAACTTACCACAAACCGGTTTACAGGTCGTACACTTGGCGGCCTTCTGATCCAGATGCAAAATATCAGCTTGCGGGTTCAGGCATGCGCAGAAAGCAAAAATTTCGACATAGTTTTTGGGTTTTAAAGTGACACAGCAGTCTTGACTTTTACTTTTCGCTTTCTCTCCTCCCTTCTTTTTTCGCTTTTCTTGCCTCTTTTTTTTTTTTTCTCTTGCTGGGCATTTAGTAGGCTTCATTTTGGTGGGAAGAGTTTTTAGGAAACTTTTAGGATCTTAGGATTAGGTGAAAGGAAAGGTAGGTGGGTAATGGAACAACATTTTCATGGAGATTTTCAGGTCCTTGTCACGTGGTTTTTTGCTTCTTTCTCCGGTGTCCTTGACTGAATTGTGCTCATTCTGGTATGGTTTGAAAGATCTCTTCACTCTGCACAAGTTAGCGAAGAAAGTTGTCCTTGACCGTTAAACCTGATGGCGTCACAAAGGGTAGAAAAGACCTGGATCCGCACGGGTGGTTACGGGTGGTTCAGGGGCGAATGGGTTAATCAAATAACCTAAAATGGCCTTTTACCAACTTTTTCAACTGATTTTACATGAAATAGACAGATTTGGTTGTTTTATGCTGAAAAGTGGATTTTTTCAAAAAGCTTGGTACTCTGCTTAACCCATTCGTTCCTGGAGATTTTGCCGAAAAACGCGTTTTGAAGCTGGTCGAGTGGTTTTCTGGTCACTGTCGTGGTTTTAAAGAGCTAAAACTTACCACAAACCGGTTTACAGGTCGTACACTTGGCGGCCTTCTGATCCAGATGCAAAATATCAGCTTTGCGGTTCGGGCATCGCAGAAAGCAAAATTTCGACATAGTTTTTGGGTTTAAAAGTGACACAGCAGTCTTGACTTTTACTTTTCGCTTTCTCTCCTCCCTTTTTTTTCGCTTTTCTTGCCTTTTTTTTTTTTTTCTCTTGCTGGGCATTTAGTAGGCTTCATTTTGGTGGGAAGAGTTTTTAGGAAAACTTTTAGGATCTTAGGATTAGGTGAAAGGAAAGGTAGGTGGGTAATGGAACAAGATTTTCATGGAGATTTTCAGGTCCTTGTCACGTGGTTTTTTGCTTCTTTCTCCGGTGTCCTTGACTGAATTGTGCTCATTCTGGTATGGTTTGAAAGATCTCTTCACTCTGCACAAGTTAGCGAAGAAAGTTGTCCTTGACCGTTAAACCTGATGACGTCACAAAGGGTAGAAAAGACCTGGATCCGCACGGGTGGTTACGGGTGGTTCAGGGGCGAATGGGTTAATCAAATAACCTAAAAATGGCCTTTTACCAACTTTTTCACCTGATTTTACATGAAATAGACAGATTTGGTTGTTTTATGCTGAAAAGTGGATTTTTTTCAAAAAGCTTGGTACTCTGCTTAACCCATTCGCTCCTGGAGATTTTGCCGAAAAACGCGTTTTGAAGCTGGTCGAGTGGTTTTCTGGTCACTGTCGTGCTTTAAAGAGCTAAAACTTACCACAAACCGGTTTACAGGTCGTACACTTGGCGGCCTTCTGATCCAGATGCAAAATATCAGCTTGCGAAGTTCGGGCATGCGCAGAAAGCAAAATTTCGACATAGTTTTTGGGTTTAAAAGTGACACAGCAGTCTTGACTTTTACTTTTTCGCTTTTTCTCTCCTCCCTTCTTTTTTTCGCTTTTCTTGCCTCATTTTTTTTTTTTCTCTTGCTGGGCATTTAGTAGGCTTCATTTTGGTGGGAAGAGTTTTTAGGAAAACTTTTAGGATCTTAGGATTAGGTGAAAGGAAAGGTAGGTGGGTAATGGAACAAGATTTTCATGGAGATTTTCAGGTCCTTGTCACGTGGTTTTTGCTTCTTTCTCCGGTGTCCTTGACTGAATTGTGCTCATTCTGGTATGGTTTGAAAGATCTCTTCACTCTGCACAAGTTAGCGAAGAAAGTTGTCCTTGACCGTTAAACCTGATGGCGTCACAAAGGGTAGAAAAGACCTGGATCCGCACGGGTGGTTACGGGTGGTTCAGGGGCGAATGGGTTAATCAAATAACCTAAAAATGGCCTTTTACCAACTTTTTCACCTGATTTTACATGAAATAGACAGATTTGGTTGTTTTATGCTGAAAAGTGGATTTTTTTCAAAAAGCTTGGTACTCTGCTTAACCCATTCGTTCCTGGAGATTTTGCCGAAAAAAAGCGTTTTGAAGCTGGTCGAGTGGTTTTCTGGTCACTGTCGTGCTTTAAAGAGCTAAAACTTACCACAAACCGGTTTACAGGTCGTACACTTGGCGGCCTTCTGATCCAGATGCAAAATATCAGCTTTGAAGTTCAGGCATGCGCAGAAAGCAAAATTTCGACATAGTTTTTGGGTTTAAAAGTGACACAGCAGTCTTGACTTTTACTTTTTCGCTTTCTCCTCCTCCCTTTTTTTCGCTTTTCTTGCCTCATTTTTTTTTTTTTCTCTTGCTGGGCATTTAGTAGGCTTCATTTTGGTGGGAAGAGTTTTTAGGAAAACTTTTAGGATCTTAGGATTAGGTGAAAGGAAAGGTAGGTGGGTAATGGAACAAGATTTTCATGGAGATTTTCAGGTCCTTGTCACGTGGTTTTTTGCTTCTTTCTCCGGTGTCCTTGACTGAATTGTGCTCATTCTGGTATGGTTTGAAAGATCTCTTCACTCTGCACAAGTTAGCGAAGAAAGTTGTCCTTGACCGTTAAACCTGATGACGTCACAAAGGGTAGAAAAGACCTGGATCCGCACGGGTGGTTACGGGTGGTTCAGGGGCGAATGGGTTAATCAAATAACCTAAAAATGGCCTTTTACCAACTTTTTCACCTGATTTTACATGAAATAGACAGATTTGGTTGTTTTATGCTGAAAAGTGGATTTTTTTCAAAAAGCTTGGTACTCTGCTTAACCCATTCGCTCCTGGAGATTTTGCCGAAAAACGCGTTTTGAAGCTGGTCGAGTGGTTTTCTGGTCACTGTCGTGCTTTAAAGAGCTAAAACTTACCACAAACCGGTTTACAGGTCGTACACTTGGCGGCCTTCTGATCCAGATGCAAAATATCAGCTTATGGTTCGGGCATCGCAGAAAGCAAAATTTCGACATAGTTTTTGGGTTTAAAAGTGACACAGCAGTCTTGACTTTTACTTTTCGCTTTCTCTCCTCCCTTCTTTTTTCGCTTTTCTTGCCTAATTTTTTTTTCTCTTGCTGGGCATTTAGTAGGCTTCATTTTGGTGGGAAGAGTTTTTAGGAAAGCTTTTAGGATCTTAGGATTAGGTGAAAGGAAAGGTAGGTGGGTAATGGAACAAGATTTTCATGGAGATTTTCAGGTCCTTGTCATGTGGTTTTTTGCTTCTTTCTCCGGTGTCCTTGACTGAATTGTGCTCATTCTGGTATGGTTTGAAAGATCTCTTCACTCTGCACAAGTTAGCGAAGAAAGTTGTCCTTGACCGTTAAACCTGATGACGTCACAAAGGGTAGAAAGGACCTGGATCCGCACGGGCAGTTACGGGCGGTTCAGGGGCGAATGGGTTAAGAGGAAACAAAAGGAAAATAGAACATAAATTGGATCAATTTAGGTTTCTGGGAAATTGCCACCTACCCCTCCCCTAATCCAACATTTTGTCCTAAGGGAGAAGTAAGTGTTAATAATGTTGACTTAGGGGAGGGGTAGGTGGGCAGTTTCCCAGAAACCTAAATTAATCCCATAAATTAACTTCCTAGTTGTTCAATTCCCTGCCTACTAATTATTGTTTATACCCCTCAACTTGAAATCTTATTGACAGCCCTGACTTGTAGGCATTTGTTGTCTGAAATTCAGATTATATTTATCTGAGATTATAATGCTTTTTGCTTCAGTCAACATGAGATCATGTGTCATTCTTAGAAGTTTTTCAAAGCCGTAATGGCTTAACATTTACATTGTACGTGCATGTACACTATACCATCATTCTTTATTTCTGAAAAATCAATTTAGATTGTATTTTGTAGCTTAATCTAAATCAATTAAAATGTGTCATCATGCTTAAATTAAGTCATAATATTTATTTGAAGGATTTTTGTTTTCTGTTGGGTTGATCAATACGAAGTGTTTTCCTTTTACCAGAATATCAGGTGGTTACGTGACTGTATTGTCTATTGTTTTACCTTTCTACTCTTTTAATCAGGTGTTTATACTTACATATATATGTATGATGGTAGGATCCCTAACTTTTATGTACATGAGGTAGATACCAGTTCAATGCTTGAGTGACTTCTTTTTTAGGATACCCCTCGGTTGAGTGTTATGGTCTCTCTATTTCTTCTTTCACAAGTAGGTGCATGTCCTTGCCGTATTAATGTTTTAGTCACATAAGCCATAAAAACAGCAGCATTTCCAAAATAAGATGAATATTGTTATTAAAGCTCTACAGCTTTGTTTAAGAAGTGGAATTTAATTTCTTGATTTAAAACCAGACACTGATTGGGGCATCTCTGTGATCCTCTATAAAATTGGTGTGTTCTGCTCTCTTCTAATTAGATTTCTACTTAACATTGTATATTATTTATTGCATCCCTTTGCTGACAGATCCTTTTAATCATGTCGCACCCTCCACTAGTCTCAAGTCTGGTAGATGTACTTCTTAACGGTGATGAAGTTGCCGCAGGAGTTACCCCTGAAGATTCTCCTTTACCCCTTAAAAAAGTGAGTGGTAATTGTGGTTTTTGAATCTTTAGCTCTCTTTAAGGCAGCTTTTTGCCTAGTAGCTTGGCAAGCAGCACCTTCTCCTAGCTTCCAGAGCAGAAGAAGAAAGAGGGTTGTTATCTTGAAAAATGGCAAAATGTTTCCAAAAGTTCTTAATTAACTCAAGAAATTCCCTAAATTTCTCCATATATTATATGTTATTTCTTACAGTTAATATTTTCAAGACGTACTTTGTTTTCTCTCTGTGTTTCCTAGGCCACAGTAGTTATTGACTACAGGGCCATTTAGTCTACGTGTAGCCCCACCCTCCCTCCACAGACAAAATGTTTTCTCCATGGAGGAGGGTACCGCTACATGTAGGGCCATTGGGAATGTGTGGATGGACTGTGTCACTGCTGGATAGTTCTGTTCCTAGCTCAGAAAAAAAATTTTTTACCAAAATAACATTTTTGAATGATTTTCCATACAGTCACCAAACCTCTAAACATCTCAAAAAATTAATATCCAGATGTGTGTATCAAAGCTAAGAAGAGTTAAACCTGGCTTGCTCTTTACAGGCTTGTTCTTTAAGCAATTCAACAGCAAGTGTGAGGACATTTCAAAGACCTGAAGAAACTTTAGAGGAGTCCCTTCTTGCCCGTGGAGTGAATGCAGAAGGATATACTTTCCTGGGGAAGGCTTCATCTCTAGGAATTCTGACAAGAGGGAGGTCAATGCATGTAGCAAACTCAAAGTTTTATGTTAGAGGTACAACTTTAGTTTATTTACACTGTGAACTCTGAAATATGAAGCATTGTTTTAAGCTGTCTATAAAGTAACATATGACTCAGCAAGTCAAAAGTATTTCTGTGTATGAAAATTATCTTGCATTTCTCAGGTTGACATACATGTAGCATTTTTAGTATCCTTGGTAGGCCAGTCACACATTCACTCAGTGTAAAGCAAAGAATATTTTAATAAAATATTAATCAAATGTTAATCAAAAAACATAAAAGATGAGACCTAATGGATTTATGGGTATAAGAATAGTTTATTAGCATTCTAATTCAAAAATCTTTTCATTGCAAGCTCATGCGGATGCATTCCAACAAGGTTAAAACTTGCATCTTGAGGGTTTGTTGTACAGCTGTATGCTTGGAATGAAATTTGTCTTCTATGCTTTTTTTGCTGAAGTTGAATCTTTGATCTTAGTTTATTCATTCTGTTACACCAGTTGACAGTAATATAGTTAGAATAATTATAATCAGAAAGAGATGAGAGTGTTGTCACTAAAATTTGCTAGGATTTGTGCTTTTCCCACCTGATCAGTTTTCTGCGATTTCCATCTTAAATCAGGTAACAGAGATGGAGCAATCACTGAAAAGAGAAGTGCCACTAGAAAAGAAGGTACTACACTTGACATAAATTAATTCCTTAATACTAACTTGCAGCCCTCTACTTTCTTGTGGTCTTGTTACTTTTCAATAAAATAAAAATGCAGTTTAATATTATACAGTCATGATATTTTAAGGTTCCTCTTCTCTGATTGCAGTGTGTTAGGTAACTCAGGTACTGGTAACCAAATAGTTTTTATTGTGGCCCACTTATCAGGACAGAAACAAACATTTTGGAAGTAAACGTAACAAGATTAAGAATCCCAACAGGCAAGAGGTAAGGGTTCAAGCTACTCATCAGGCAGGCAAAATTTTAGAGCTGCTTCCCTTAAGTATGTGCTTGACGTCAAAGTTTTTTTTACCCCCACGGTTAGGGCAGGGATTCAATTTGTTGACTCTGGATTACTTCCAATGCTCTAACTGCTTAGTCACGCTGTCTCCTTGTTTTTCAGCCTCTGACCTCAGTCCTGTTCAGGTTCCTTTGATACAGACACCCTTAGGTCAGAGTGATAGTGGCGAGTCTGATACAGATTCATCCTCTAGTGTGTCCACACCCACTGCCACCACAGGTGAGACAACCAAGGAGGAGACTACAGCAGAGAGAAGACCAGTACATGGTATGTATTATAGGTGTAGAGTACCCTGGCTGGGAACAGAGCCTCCTCCTTTTGTCTTCTCTTTGATCAAGAAGGAGAAAAGAAGGTTCTGCCTGAATCGTGTAAGGCCTCTGAAGTTGCCGCAGCCTGAATTTCTGCTCTAGTTAATGTTGTTTGCTCTCATTAAACTGGTTTTTTAAGTGGGAGCATCCATTCATTTATTGATAAACCAATGGTCATAACTGAGCTATGAGGCCTAGGATCGAAATTGTATCCTGGCTAGCAACATGCAGTACAGTCTCAACAGAACTCTTACTCCATTCATGCATAGTTTTTCTTGAATACACCAAGTGAAAGAAAAGCTCTGGTGACAGTAGAGTGGCTTGTGGATTTGAGGGTACATGATCATACTGAGCCGCTTACCAATGCATATTATTAGCTTTTTAACCCTGTAAGCCCCATTAGTGACCAACATTAATTTTCTCCCAACAATATCCACAAGAAAAGGTTGTGAGAATTCATGAATTGCTCACTATAAGGAGAATGCTTTGATCTTTTAACAAATTCTTTCAACTAATTTTTAGGGAAATATATGGAGAGCAGTCTGGAGAATTTGGTTGTTGATATTGGGGCTGAAAGTGTTAACACCAATAAACTAAAAATCCATTATCTTGCAACATACCATAATAATGCATTACATGTAATTTCTGCGCACATTGTATTGTGCATATCAATATACATCTTTACTTAAGCTCATTACAAGCTGTTATTGTATTCTTACAATATTCCTCTCTTGTCCTTTTTTTAGCACAAGAGGCAGTGGTAGAAGAGGAAAACAGTGAAACTGATAACATTAAGGTATTGTAGATAGCAATAAATTTCTTAGATGGAGAGTTGCATGGGAAACGGCTGTTCATGTAACATAATTGGCTACAATACGGTTTAGTCAACATTGTTAATGCTACATTTGATCTTTTTAAAAGAACAATATCTCATTGCAATGAATTTCATTTCAGAGTGTAATTAAACGACCCAAAGAATTTCAGCCCGACAGGTATTTCTTTAAATTTATTTAATATCTGTGGAGCATTTTTTTCCAGCTGTTTTACCAAACTAGGAAAAGTGTTAGAACAAAATTTTGGGAGCAGTTATTGGTACTTATGTCTGTTGATACAGCAGGATGATATGTTTGATTATATCATGGCTGGGTTCATCAATGGGCTTGATTAAGTGAATCTTGTGTTTTGATTGGCCACCCCAGTGGGCAAGATACAACGTCTAATCTTTCCCTCTTTAAAAAGATCTCTCGCCTTGTTTCCTCGCTCTTTTAATGTATGGTGCGTTTTTTATTGGCCTCGACTTTGTCTCAGTCAAGAAAAAAATCAAGAAAGAACTTGGCCAATATCCAGCCGCCTTGAAATCACCCTTGGTCAATAACTCACACTGTACAGTCATATCTGAACGTTGTGGACAGTCCTGACACCAATCACGTGATCAACAAATTACTAAAGCTTGATTTTATAGCAACCCATTGTGTTCAGTTCTGTTGATACTTATTCTCATCATCTTTTTACGCTGTATTTTTTTGTTATTATTTTTTTTTTTGGCATCTTCTATTCCGATACTGTACTTGACATTCCTCAGGATTAAGAGGGAGAAAGAAAAGTTAATTATTGCAACGAAACGTAAATACTTACAGGTTGCCCACAGAAATACTTTCACATTCACACGCATGACCATGTTGATTTTGTTTTTTCATGTTTAGTATGTTTCTTGAAGCGATCCATGAAAGTCTTGATTGTAGCGACAATGATGAAGAGGCACTGTTTGCTATTTGCCTGCTGTGTGCAGCAATTGGCAACAAAGGTAGGTAGTACGGACTGGTGCATGGCAACTCCAGGTGTGCTTTTCTGATCAAAAACATAGATACTAAATATCGTTTGGTGCTTATCTGCTTGTACTCTCGTTCAGGTTCTTGTTAAGTTAATAGCTGTTTGTTTTATAATTCTAGGTGTGGACAAAAAATTGCTTGAAACATCAGGAATCTCGTCGGCGCAGGTAAGCGTTAGTGTTGCATAACTGTAAGTTTCCAAGTGTATACTGTCATCTTGTACTTGTTGTTAAGGTGGATAGTTCTTTCGCTTGTGTAAACTAGTTTTCCAATGTTATAGATGCGGGTACGATGATAGTTTTCTCCGGAAATTTGGCCTCTTCTGCCCTGATCGCCTTTTTGCAAGAGATATTTACCGTGGGACGTTTCCATGGAAACGTTAAAAGGGCATTAAGGAGTCTATCGAGGTTACCAAGATGTTTACGCTGGATTCTTTGATTCCTACAATAACTCGGCCAATCAGTAGAGTGTAATGAAATTTCCCACGTAAAAAAAGCACTGCACGCGTCGTCGAAACGCGGGAAACAGGCTTGAGTGTGACCACTTTACCTCTGTAGGTAAACCACAACGATAAGTGTACCGCGAGAGGAACATCGCACAAAATTACTGTGTCCACTGTGCCTGCATTCTCGGTTATCATGTTAACACTTATCTGTGTGGTATTAATTAATTTTATCCAGAAGGCTTTGTCCCCTTTGAACAACCGCGCGCAAAAGACTAGCCTGTTCCAGGGTCTCGGATAGTACTGACGGATAACGCGTTACTTAAAGACACGCGAAAACAAGAGCGCGTGATTTGGCAAAAGTCCTCTCCCCAGTTTCGGCCTCCCGTCTTATTTTGGTGTTTGCGACACCAAAATAAAACGGAGCCTGGAACAGGCGACAAAAGACTGGATCACCCTTCGAACTACATAAAAGTGAAAACGTTCGGTCATCAATGTTTAAGTTTTTTGAGAAGTTGTCATCAGTAGATGACCAAAGAAGACATAGACATACTCCGAGTCTGTTTGAGTCCAAGCCATAAAAACGAATTAAGATTTGAGTTTTTAGTGTGTAAAACTATCGCGAACACCCAGTATTAATCGTATCTAACTCATAATTTGTTAGACAAAGATTCCGTACGGTGAGAAACTTGTGGAAAAGCTGATCAGAGTCCTGGAACTTGGATATCGGAATGGTGAGTACGATGCTATCTGGTACTAACATTATTGAGCTTACGCAACAGGACGGGAGAGGAAAGAAGACGGCAAACCTTGTGTGACAATCGTGACAATAATTTTGTTTGGAAAGCTTTTCCGCCGAACTTCACCCTCCTTTAAACAGGTCTTTTTGTAAAAGACCAGAAAAACATTAACTTAAGTGAAGATCACCACAAAACACATAAGTAATAGGCCTGTCGAGGCCTGTCACTTTTGTCGCACACGAGCGTTTTGCCGTCCTCTTCTGTCTGCCGCCCTGTTGCGTAAACTTGCTATTATTGATTTATTTTTTTTTGTCGCAATCAGACAGAACTGATTTTATTTTGTGCTGACGAAGATAAAGGGAGAAATTGTAAAGTTGATGAAAGATGTTGAGTAGAGACAAGAGATCATAATAGGTCCTATTATGGCTCTTGGTAGAGAACTGTCCATAAATCATGAAGCCCAGGTTTACACAAGAGGAGATCTTTTCGGATTCATAATGTTTCCGGATTCGTCAGCTAATCCGAGAACATTCATTCGGGTACAGTGTATTCACTTAAGATTCCGGATTGAAGATCCCCGGAAATATAACCAAACTGGAAAGTTATTACCGGTATTTTGGATTTAACGGAATGTATTTGCGAGTAAACGGCAAAACGAATCCGATACCAAAATGATGCGGTTCTCTAGTGTGAACTTAGCCGCTGAGGGAAGTACGCTTTTGGAAGAAACATCTCGGTATCTGCCAACGTATCACAGGATATAGCGTACTTATGCACAATTTTGTTTTTCGGAGGTAAAAGGACTTACCATGCGAGAAAAAAAGCTAAATGTAACCGTAAATTTTGTTTACAATAATGAAGAATAATGAGAAGAACAAAGTTCAAGTGCTTAAAGCTTTAATTTTTTTGTATTGTGTTCAATCGTAACTGTATGTAGTCACCTGCACTTACTTTGCGTTGACTCTAAAAACCAAACACTGTAGCTTTGTGGAAAATACCCATATTTTGGGGGTATTTTGTTTGATTTTTTTTCTTTTAGGGAGTCAAGTTCGCGTGGTTACATTGGAAATGATCATTCTTCTCCTCAAAGAGCTTGTTATGTATACAGTGGACAACACTAGGTGTAGTTACCTAGGCGACAGGCACTTGGCTATGATTGAGGTATGAAAACAGCTGACTGATCTTACGCCTCTCACGTGTGTATCGTATTTAGTCGAATAAGCGCCGCCCAATTCGGCACGACCCCGGCTTCCTGGCCTCGATACAATCCAAATCAAACGATGTAAATCCTGCTAGTTTAATACGGAAAAATAATACCGCAGATAAGACAATTCTTCGTCGGGTCCAACTTTCAAATAAACACCCCCGAATAAGCGCCATTTGAGGCAAAAATTTAATAAGCGCCGCGTAAATACGGTATTCCTGACGGAAGGGCCCATCGAATAAAAATTTTTGCACAAAAAGTCTTCTTTGTGTCGTCACGCAACGGCCCTCGTTCAAGAAGACAGTTGCGTGACGAGACAAAGGACGGCTGCGTGGGACACTGTGCTGAAAAAACTGAAAGATAATATTTGCTGGTAAAGTGGCGTGTTACAATTGGGTCTTTTTAGTATACTGCTACACAAGAACTTTTAACTTTACTAGGTTTTTTTAGCGATGCACAGGTAAGGTTAATGTAACTTCGGCCTTATCCACAAAGCGCATAAGGTTGATTTCCACTGTCGCGTTTTTGGCTACGCACGGTAACGCACGTAAATTTTAACCACGTAAGTAAAATAGAGGCAAGACAAAAATGTTGAGCTTAAACGAGAGGTTGAGCGACGTTCAACTTTTACAGTTACGAGCGACCTTTCATGCATTGCCTCTATTTTATTTGCAAACTTTTACTTTTGCGCACGTACGCACGTAAAAATTACGCGACACTGGAAATAAACCCTTAAGGACCCCAAAAAACTCATTTAACCCTTTAAACCCCAAGATCAAAGTTTGAATTCTCATTTGTTGCCCCTATTCATTTCCTACAGAAGAAGAGGGGAGAAGTTGTTAAAATATCAAACAAATTCATCTTGTGTGATAATGTCCGTAATTCTCATGACCACTCTGTTTTACAAAGCATTGCTATTACAAGGAGAAATTTGATGCTGATCACTCTTGGGGATTAAAAGAGATCGTGGGTGTGCACGTTTGTGAATTGTTTGCAAGTGGCACTTCAAGGATCACTTTTTCACGTCTGTTTTTCAGAACGTTCGCGAGGCCAGCACGTTGCAGTTAAGACATTACTATAAGGTAAAAACAAGTTATTTGTTCTGCTTATGTTCATAAATATTGTCATCGTTGAATTGTCACGTTTAAAACAAAACTGCAGTCATACTAAAGTAATGCATGGCCAACGGTGTTGATTAAGTTGAGAAACCCGTTGGTCATTTTAGGTGAAAGGTAGGTGTTAGACTGGGTCGGTGTTAGGTCGGACTGTTGCACTGTTGGACTGTTTTGGGGACAAATTTGGACCCAGTCTCCCGCACTCGAAGCGATAGCGTCCTCAAAACAGTCCCATCGTGCAATACGGCACAGCATTACCCTAGTCTCGCGGCTGCCAGCTTTCGGCCGGCTGCCGTCTAATAACGAACTTAATTAACGGTGAAGAACATTAACAAGACGTTGCACATCGTTTACTTGTAGAGGACGTCATAGACGTTTAGGTTTGTTTTCTTGGATAAACTTAAACGTTCTCAGCTCTAAACTCAAAAAATAAATTCATAAAAGGGATAGGTTGTGGTAGGTCGGATGATAGGATTAGAAGAGATTTATTCGTCCTTTGCTGGAAAAGTATTTTGTGTTACTAACATGTAGGAAACAACACAGAATGTTCTAATTTATTATCCCTGATCCTGTTATACTTCCCAGTACTCCTGATAAATGCAAATGTGTATTATATTACTGTTAATGTAGTATTATAGGCAGTATTTCTATTTCCTCACTCTTTCCTCTTGTCTTGTTTCCTCCACAGGAAGATGAGATTTTCTTAGACATGTTTGAAGATGAGTATCGGCAAACCAAGGTGCAATCAAGTTCAATGCACAATTTGACTGCTATGTCTGATTCTCTCTTCTCAAAACTTATTGTGTTATGTTGCATTGTAACTGTAAAGAGAACTTAGTTTTTGATCCTTTCTTGTAGTTGAAGCCGCCCAATCTGCAGCATTTGATGATGGACGCCACACTGCTACTTCCCATAACTGGAACACCGCTGACCGGAATAGAGTTTTATAAGCGCCTGCCGTGTGGCGAAGTAGAGCACACACGAAGAGTACGTCAAACGCACATAACGCGTACTTTATTTTGTTATTTTGCACAAGTTGTGAAATAGGAAAACAACCTTTTTCGCTTAGGTCACCTTGTTTTACTTGAGTTTCGCAAGAATTCTGACCAACTTGAACAATCAACAGTTGTCAGAACACTGCATGCAAACTGCGGCAGTAACTTGCTCGGTCGTTATAAATCAACTTAGGTCTGTAAACGTCCGGCCCAACTTTCTGAGTGGCCACAGTTTGGAAATTATAGCATTTCTGGGCCCTATTTCCATTTAGGTTATGTAGAATAATTGTTAAGAAGTGCGCGCTCACAATGTGTCAGAAATCTCACCCGTTCGCTGCGCTCACTCGTTTACTTTTTGGATACAAAAACTTGCAACGAGTGCGTTAAACCCTGCTAAGGACTTTCTTTGTGTTATTGTGTAGCAAGTCTTTCTCATGCCAGAAAAAAAGCATAGCAGTGAGGTTATTAATTATTCTAAATTACTTCTTTTGAAGGCGATTCGTGTTTTCCTGTTGATGAGAGATCTTTGCCTTGCCTTGCTGGGAAAGAATGAGGAACATCTTCCTTTGTCAAAAGTCGAAAACTCTGTCCACTTGGAAGATGTTCTAGACCTGAGTAAGTGGAAGGTGCCTTTGTTTTTGTTTACTTTTTATTTTTTAATTTATTGGTTTGGCTGGTATTGACCAAACTGTACGTGTACACAAAATGTGAACGTCCTCTAAACTTTACCCTCTGAGAGTTATTTGTAGAAATGCATTCTGATGAGATTGAAGCTATTTATGATAGATGTCACGAAGTGTTCCCCATGGACAAGTAATTCTGTGAATATGGTCATATGGTCATATGGGAGTTACAAAAGAATCGCGTCTAATATGAAGTAACCAAGATCCGAGTTATGATCATTTCTGGACCTAAGTGTTCGGTTTCAAGGTGTCTGCAAGTTTGGAAAGCCTTAGTGTCCACTGGGCTCGTTTTCTGAAAGTTCTTTTTAAATTTGCCTGCAACAGTTTTGCCCAGATCATATTCCTCTAGGTCTTTGAGGATGAATAAGCCCTTATCTCTACCTATATTACAATTGTGTATTTTTCGGTTTACAGATAACAGTGACTTGATTGCGTGCACGTTGAAGACGGAAGAAAAGTAAGTGTAGTTTTTTTTTACCCATGTTATTCCCTTACATAAAACGTTAAATGAGCGCAAGCCCTCCATATGGGGGATATCGTGAGAAGTCACGCGCGAGTGGCACAGGAGAAGAGACATGAGAGCCTCGCTCCTCGCGGCCTAGCCCCTCCCTCGCGTGGCTGGCTGGAGAGTTTGTTCGCAGGCTGGGTTCACTCTTAAAATGCTACCTGTCTCCAAGACATACTTTTACCAATTTTCACATACTAGCAAAAAAACATTTAGCACGTCCATGCCACTACAATGGATTTCTATTGGCATAGAATAAATTCACCATTCCCTGTAACTTAATTGGTATAAGCGTTCTTTCTGTATTCCAGGCAACAGCGTCGTTTTCTGGTCATAGATGAGGCTCAGTTTATCCTGGTTGAACCTGACACAACCAAGTTGGGCTGGGGTGTGGTTAAATTTGTTGCAAGACTCCAGGTTAGTAGGAACAAATACATCGTTTTCACTCACGTGCTTAGTGACCAGGGGTTTCAATAAGTTTTTGACTATACTTAAGAGTAACATTTCTCAGGAACACATGAAACTAATTTTAAATTTGAAGAGAATTATGTTACAAAAGAGTTCAGTCAAAACCTATTTTGCTAAATTTTTGGCAAGAATTCGAAGCTGAGATGAAATTTCTGGTCTTAGTTGACTCGGTGAACAAGCGGGTAATCGGCCCGTTAACATGGCTGCCATTTCGTTGTTTAGTGAGACCAATATCTCGGAACACTGTTTTGACGTCAGTTCAGTCTTCACAGGATTTTTATCAATGAATTTTTTTGGATCGTCCTTTTCTTTACCTACTGTTTAACTTTGTTGTTTTTGCATTTTTTTGTGTGTGTGTGTGTTGTTGTTGTTGTTGCTGTTGTTTTTAGTGTGTAGTTCCAGAAAATATCCCTACCCCCCCACGGCGGGCAACGGAAATTTCGAGGGGGGAATCCAAAAATAGGCAATTTCCAAGGGGCTGGGGAGTTGCGTACAGAGGTTTTTGCCAGGGGGTCTAAGTAAGATTGGTGAGTCATTAATAAATAACAGCTTCTCTGTGTAACTAGCTATCAGTTATTTTACCGTTACCGGTGTTTTCAAAACAAGTATTATTGTTTGCATTGATCATCTTTCATCTACGGTCGGCTAAATACTTTTTTCACGGCTTGGGCGATAGTTTTCCTTAATACAATAGTCATCGGCTCATGAATAAACTTTGGGTTATCTAGCTGTTGCTGCATTACACATTTGATTCACCGCAATTTGGTCTGGTTCTGAGCCTTCTTGTAACATGTTCTAACTTAAATGAAGTAATGAAAGTTCACGTGGCGTTTAGTTTGAATGTAACTGGTTCTTTTGCACATGACTTTTATCGGGTAGTCAGTAGTGTAGCTAAGAACGTTCTTGAGTTTATTAGACCCTAATTAACATGAATGAAAAGAATTTTTCTCTTTTTATCGCAGAAAAATTATCTTTTGCATAATGATATAGTGCAACAACATTTTTGACACTATCCTTTCCAGAGGGTACCCAACCAATGTAAAATTTACGGAAATTCCAGGGAAGGGGGGGGGAGGGTATGACAAGCACCCTCAGGAATGGAAATTCCAGGGGGATAGGGGGGTCTAAAGCAAAAGTGCCCTCCGGGGGGTATGGATATTTTCTGGAGCTACACATTCAGCTACGCCCATCCGTCTCAACTTACCTAATAAGTAATTAGTACATGGACTTTTACAATTCAGTCTCTTCGGATGCAGTGGTAATTGTAGATTGTGTTTGTTGTTTATATCAGGATGTGGAGACAGCACCTGATAAAGAAGACAGTCGCTCTTTATTTATCACCATTCATCAACCCAGCTCGGGTCGCAGCCTGACCAAAGTCCGCTCGCGTCCCATTCTTTTCGCCAAATTCATCTTTGATGACTACATTCGCTGCATGTCTGCTAAACAGCGCCTGCAAAGAAGACGGACAATGCTGAGGCAACATAAACTACACTGCATAGCACAGCTGTTAGAGCTACCAGCCATGGCTTCACCGCCGTCTCATTACTATTCTATCACCCCGCCAGCTTATGTTAATCTGGGTCCGGGACAACTTGAGTCACCAACAGACTCTCAAACAAACGAGTCCGCTGACGAGCCCGTTGGCCTACAAGTGCAGTCTGCTGAGCATGCGCAATCGTCTGGTAATACGTCACAGGAGTCTACCCAGGCTTCGCTTGTTGGAGCCATAGCAACGCCAGAGCAGTGTTTGTCTCCAGTTAATGCTCCAGGCAAACGCTCGACTTCTCAAGCGGAGGCGCTTGCGAATGTTCTAGAACAATCACCTCCTCCTAAAGGCGATGATAAACAACTTTCCACATCAGTAGAGGAGGCTAAAGAGGCTATCGAAATGGAAAATACTAATAAAACGGTTCAGAATATCCAAGAAAACATTTGCTCTGAACATTTTTCGCCTGATGAACATACATCCCGGTCTCGCTCGCACTCGGTAGAGAACATAGAGCATTATACTGTCAGAAGAAATCCCGTGTCGCGCTCTGCCCCTGCCACCCCTCGTGGGGACAGACGTACTGTGTCAATCATACAACAAGGTGATGCGTTAGTGGGATTGAATACCAACTCAATGTCTGAGCCAGCGATATTTTTTGCTGGTCAGTGGGAGCCCCCTACAGCGCATGCAAAACCACCCGAGAGAAGAACAAAAAAGACTGGGGCCAAAAAAAGTAAAGGCAAAGGAAGACAGCGAAAGAGATAAACAATTCTTAACCACCAGTTAAGAAATTAGCAGTTAATAATAAATAAATTATTACATCAAACTTCAAGGAAACTCCAGAAATATCGCAGATATTTATTCGAAATTACTACTACGAGGTATATCAGATTTCAAGACAACTACTTTATAGAAAGAATAATTTTAATGTCATATTTTAATTGACTTTAACTAACACGCTCGATTGTTGGGTTACATTTAAGTGTAAATATTATATTTGAACGAAAGATATAAGCAAGGAGTCATAAGAAGTTTATTGAAGTAGTGATTTTACTCAGTAGCATAGCTGATTGGTAGAAGTTTTCAACCTATTATTACGTAAGATGTAAAGAGAATTTCCTGTGTTTTTAGAGATGTCAACAGTCGTTTTGTTATACGGAAAATTTCTCTCGATACTTGCAATTTTAGGAACGAATTAACAGTATTTTGTGCCGTTAAGTTCTAGGTGTTTAGTAGGAACGCTGAAGAAATTTACTTCCTAAGCGTCCTTCTTTTTGCCTTGAACAAAAACTTGTTTCAAATTCTAAACTTTAAGAGTTTCGGTGGGTGGAGAATGTCAGTTCCCAGTGTATTCTTTCGCTCACAGCCTGCAGGTTATCTCCAATGGTGAGAATGGATATAACGAATTCGCGTTTATTTTTGTAGAATTCGATAATGCCTTTTATATTTGAGTTACGGCGAACCGCCCACCCTCATCCGATTTTTGATACCAGAAGATCTTTGTTTTGAAACGGTTTGCAAGCTGATAGTTGGTGAACAGAAATTATTGTAGGGTTTTTGTAATCACTATTTTTTGCGCCTTGTGCATTGCATCATCCTGTTATTCAAACCTTTGGTTAAGGCTTGGCAAAAATTACCAAACTCTTTGAGTAAAGGTAATGTTTGGTGCTTTTTTCAGTTTATAAGTGACTGATCTATCAAATATAGTGCCAATACGACGTAACAGTAAGTAATAGAATTCAGTATTATGAATTGCGAATGAAACCTAAAGAAGAATTACAGTTAGTTAATTTTGAAAATATTGCATCCTCTACTCTTCAGATTAGAGTAAAGTTGCTCTTTGAAAATATAACACTCAGTGTAAAGAATAAAATTTTAAGATATGAAGGCGAAAAACTGTTTTTTTTTTCATACGATTCAACGGCCGTGATGTATGTAACCTGAGACTAGTTTATCCCGAGACAGTCGAATTTCTCTCGTTAGCGAACAGCTCTCTTTAATATGGCTGCCTCGACTAAACTCGTTTTTTAACTGCCGTATGTGTCTCATGAGTGACCATATATAACAATTTTTTTTCTTTGAATATTTCTCTTATTAACCAAATGTTCTTTGAGTGCGTATATTGTTTCTTGATCGATCTCCCATGTCGTATCTATGAGGTTCATTACTTGCTCTCCTTTTGCGCCCCTCACGGTTTTCTACTGTAGTTAGAAATATTTGCTGTTCTTCTTGGTGGGTGGAGGGGTGGTGGAACGAGGCGCCTCATTTGGCCTATATGAAGTGCCATTAGGTATGGTTTATGGCATCTCTGTTGGGGCTCCATGAACATGCACAATACTTTCGTTTTTGTTCACAAATTGTGACTAAATAAATTAAGGTAATGTTTCTATTGGTCAGTAAATTCAAAAATGATAGGAAAGCTATTGAAAATTGTTTACGGTCAAGTCCAAAACAGCTAACAAACATATACAACAAGGAAGCCTGACAGGCTCGATAACCATTGCACATGATTATGTTTTTGTCCTAATATATTAAAATTCTAACATGACTCCGAGGTCGTCTGATCATTTTTCTATATTTGGTTTGGTTTTCTTTGTGCGCCAGTCAATTGCGAGATAATGGAGTCGTGAAAAATTTGCAATTTTGATCCTAAAGCCAATTTTAATATTAATTTTAATATATCGAACGTGGGCTATCAGGGTCAGCTTTTAAAAGGATCGGGACCTCTTTGGCCAACCAGTTGTGTCCACATTTCCCTCCTCTCCTCTGTCACATGGGCATTTACCTACAATTTCACACGCGCACTGACTCAAACGAAAGGAAAATCAAAGACAAGGCTGAAAGATTCATTTGAAGAGGGATGTAGTGCCCATGAAGGTTCTAATCTGTCTTTCACTTCAGCTTGAGTAGTTGATATATGTCTTTGTCACCCTGGATACCAGAGTTTTTTTTCTTCGCGTCTGGCTTCATGTTTCGGTGTCTGCCGCAGACAGATCTTGCGCGCGCATGAAAAGTTTCTGGCACCTGGGGTGTTTTTGTCAAAGGGAACCAACAACCTGCTAGGGCTTAAAACCTTGCAAACAGGTCACCAGAGCAGGCATAGAATAATAGAATATAAAATATCAACAAGTCCACAGCGACAAACCGTTGAGTGGTGCCGGATCTCTTAGTTGTAGACCTAGATCAGTACAATAATACTTGTAAAAAATCATCAGTAAAACGGAAAGGCCATGAAGAAGTAAACCAAAGAATAAAACAAAAAAATAGATGTTTAAACAAATTCGCCCGATATTTCGACGTTTTTCTTATCCCACTTGAACTCATACGTAGCAACCGTGATAAAGGCTAGGGAGTTTCATTTAATACACAAAGAGAACACATCATCTCCTCTAGGAATAAATAGACGTGACGAAGCTCGTTGATATAGGATACTGCCTTATCTCCTCCACCAATAATAATCTATTGTTTTTATTTTCATATTTTCAAACTCTTATTTGTAACGAACTTTTAGTTTAGGTTTCTTTTAGCCCCTTACGAATGTTTGTTTTCACTGAAACCCGAAATATTGGGCAAATTGGTTTAAATACATATTTTTTGTTATTATTCTTTTGTTTGCTTCTTCGTCGCCTTGCTGTAAGGATCAGTTTCCCGGGACCAGTTTGCCGTTTTATGATTTTCTATAGAATACTAGGAAGGTCAGTCATATCACTGGTGAACGATCTAAGTGTCAGTTGTCATTACGATCTCATCAAAACTGATTGGATCGGTGATTTCTAAAAGTCAAAATGGCAACATTTGGTGTCCGGGTAACCTGCGATCAGAAGTTCTGTTTAGGCTCCCCGGAAAGAACACCTGATCGACAGTCGCTGCCTAATGTAATGAAACAGCATGTTTATTCTGGCGGGGTATGTGCTCTCGGCTGGGGGGAATGTTAATAGCATGAGGAGTAATTAACCTGTTTTAGTAACAGTTAACAAGGACCTCTATTAACGCTTGAGTGAAAACCGACATTGAAGTTAATTCATATTTAATATGGCTTAGCAAGATGGTTAAAACATGGCACGAAATTCAGAGTGTTACTGCTACACTGCTAAGGTCATCGTTCTGTAGCTTAGAAGTTTCTGGTTTTACTTTTGATCAACACATTGGTGAGTGGAGCATTGTCGCTATTTACCCAGTGAAACTGTAAGTAAATCGTTTGCCAGACCGTTTGATTTCATGTGTCGCGTCCACTTATTATTAGGCTTAACGTGTTGACTGATACTTGTTTGCATGAGCGTTTTTTTTAGCATAAAACTGATAGTCTTATGCATTTAATGTTACTTTAGACAGAATGAATCAGGTTTATTGCCAATCGTGCAATACGATTCTTTACATGCTTGTTCTGGTGATCAGCGCAGAATTCACCAACTCGATTGCGTGGAAAGAGGCTGTCAATGAAGACGGTAAATACTTGTTGCTTCATTGCCTTATTTATTTAGTGCAAACAGTTAATTGAATACTTTCTGTTTACTTGTCGTTGAAAACGGTTAGTTGTTCAGTTTTGGTGTGTACATTCTATATTTTTTAAAACAAATTTGAGCTGAAATTTGTTGATTTTAGTGGCGGGAAACCAAGGCCTCATTTCTGGGGCGGAACTTATTGACGGTGAGGCGATAGCGCGGTATCTGAATGAAAATTGTTTTGATTTTATACTTACGGTTCTCCATCTCATAGTTTCTCGTTGTGTCTCATTTAAAATCATCAGAGGGTTTACATAGGTTAAGGAAAATTATCAGTTTCCGGTCTCTTGCTCTATTTCCTTCTTTCTATTCAACTTTATCTTCATTAAAACTTTAAGGACACTTCAAAGAGCTTTTCAGCGACAATAATTATTCAGTCAACGTTATTTCTTTGCCAGCAAACACCTTACAAGTCAAAATAACAAAACCTCACGAGCGAGAAGTAACTGTGTGCGAGGTTGGGAGCAGTTAACTTTCAACAAACAAACAAATAAGCAACCAAAATGCGAGATTTTGTGCTTTTGTGTGTGATGATGAAGGCGATCATAAAGGAAATAGAATAATTATTTTTTAAGTTCTTTAATGCTTTCCTAAAAAGGGAGTGAATCATTTTCTCTATTCCAGCCATTTTAACTGGTCACGTACGACAGTGAATTTTTTATCTAAGTTTTCGAACCTGTTGGAGTCTGGACTAATCTATAACTGACCATCCCCACTTGTACTTAGAAACTCATCCACCGATAACTCTTACGACATAAGGACCCGGTTTCATGAACATTATTTAATGTCAGATCATTATCAACCACCTAAAGTTCATCTAAATGGAGATTTACGATGAAATTCTGCTGCTTTTTTGATAGGTGTTCTTGGGGCTTAAAAGGTCCCTTTAAACTTCGATACTGATCCACATACAAATGATCTTGACTGATCCCATACATTTCTTCAAGAATTCTCTGAGGGGATTTGATAAAAGGTTAAAGTATTTCCCGCCTTTGTTGATCATTTTAGCATTTCTAATAACGTTTGCTACTAATTTAGATAGATGTTGGTCTCTGTTTTGACTTTAAGGGTTAAACGTAGGATTCTATGTTTAGAGTAAAAAACGCTAAGTCAAATTTTAACCAGCATAACCGGAATACAAGATAAATTGAATCATTTCTTGATTTAAGATTCACTCTTATATCAAGAAGATTTTGAAGATATTAATAATACTTTCGAACTTCCACTAAAGGCCACCTCACAACAACGGCCACCTATCTACGACGGCCAGTCCATACATTCACTCATATTTCCGACCTCCCTACAACAGCCACCTCTTTACAATGGCCACTTTCTTCTATCCACAAGGTGGCCGTTGTAGAGAGGTTCAACTGTATACTTTGCCTAGAAACAATTATATTTTTGCTTTCTCCCTCTCTTTGCCAGTCATTTGTTTTGATTTGTCTTTTTTGATGTAGATAATCCACGCGGCCTTAAAGAGAACACTGCTATGGACAACATTGAGAAGGCAAATAAGGGTAAGGCGCTGGAGATCAGTGAAAAATGACTTTTTTTGATGTTGATCTGTCAGCGTGCTGTGCATTGGATAGCCTGTTCCAGGCTTCAAGATAATAGGGAAAGCGTATAGAGAAAAGTTATGCGAAAACGCGGGAGCTGGGGAGAGAAGGGTAAGTGTCTCTCTTCCCGGATCTCTTCCCGCCGTTTTTCGCTCCTTCGCAATTGCACTGCTCGGTCGCTTTTTTCGCTCGTCTACACTGACCGAGAGCCTGGCACAGACTATGCGCTGGAGTGCTTTGAGAACTATTCACCTTATTTGATGATAACTGAATAGAGGAGATAATTAAAAGGACGCCCGTAGGCAGCGTCTGTGTGTTGGACGTAACAAATTGAAGGATGATAAATTTAGACGTTTCGAAATGCTGACTTCATAAGGGAGTTTCTTTAACTTATGCCAATCAGCTGGAATGCATATCTGCAAGTGACAGACGATTATATTGGAGGGAAATAATGGGGAGGCGGGTAGCATTCCTTTCGACTCAGTTCTCAGTTAATCGCTGTTACCGTCGGCAACTGAACGGGTTACTTCTGATTGTACGCACTGAGGCATTTTCTCGTGCTGCAGCAAAGACATTTATCTCCTTATACGCGAGGAGCGTTGCTAACCGAGATGAACGAAGGTGTTAGCTTGTTAGCTACTCTAAAATTTGAGTGTAAATAAATTTTATGTTATGATACCGCGTAGGAGACAAAAAAGAAGGGGAATAAAGAAAAGACAAAGATCGTAATAATGCTAGACAAAACTAATCATCTTTTTTAGAGGACCATACAGAAAACACTTTTAAGAATATATTCGAAGGTGACGTTGAGCTAACCGAGAGCGACAGGGAAGGCGTCGACACAATTAACACCAATTCTACAGACAGAGCTGAAGTAGATGTCGACAGTGTTCTCACCAAACGTAAAGCCATTAGTTCTCGCCGCCATCTTTGGGTCAGGAAAGTGGTTCCCGTTGAACTGGGCCCAGGATCATGTAAGGCTGATAAAATAAAACAACTTCTCTCTCTTCAAAAACCGTACTCAATTAGACAGTGAATTAATAATCACCCCTATAGCCCACGTTCAATATATCAAAATTCTAAAATGACTCCGAGGCTTTCTGGTCATTTTTCTATATTTGGTTTGGTTTTCTTAGTGTGCTCAAGTCTCTTCTGGGAATTGCAAGACAATGGAGCAGTGTTAAAATTGCAATTTTGTCCCTAAAGCGCCGGAGTCATATTAGAATTTTAATATATCGAACGTGCACCGTAATTTTTAAGGAGTTATTATAACTCCAAAAATGGAGTAAAAATTTTAGGGGGTTATTTTAACTCCTAATTTAACTCCGAATTTGGGGTCATTTTTACTCCTGAAAAAGAGTTCTTTTTACTCCCAGTCTGGAGTTAAAATTACTCCGAAATGGGGTTACTTATACTCCTTACGGGGGTTGTCTTTACTCTTTTTGGAGTTAATTTAACTGTGAAAGTGGAGTAAAAATTTTAGGTACAGGATAACTCCTTTTTGGGGTTATTTTAACTCCTCAATATCTGGAGTCACTTTTACTCCTGAAAAAGAGTTCTTTAAACTCCTTTTTGGAGTTAAAATAACTCCACGAAAAATAACTCCACTGTAAGGAGTTAAATTAGCCCCACTAGAGGAGTTATTATAACTCCCTGAAAGTTACAGTGTGGGCTAATGTGGTTCCAGAGTCAGGAAAATTTCTGCTTGTGGAATCCGGACTCCAGGGTCTTGAAATATCCACAACGTGGAATCCAGAATCCAAGACTAATCTTAGATTTATGGCAATAATAATCTGACAAGTCCTGGAGAGGTGAAAACAGTAGAGCTGTATATGCTAGTCGAGAAGTAGTCGTTATGAAGAGTGGGCATTTCATGTCCAACCTAGCCAAAAGCTGTCATTTAAGGCTGGCACCTTTTACTTCACTAGACAATTTCATGTAACGTTACAGGAAATACATAAGTTTGTGGGAAGGATCAGACAAATTGGTCTGGTTGCACAACAATGCTCTAACTGTGAGCATGTTCCCCCCCCCCGGCCAATCCACACCCCTGAGAGCTCTCTGAAGAAAAAATTCTCGTGGGGGTAGGCACGGAGCACTCTCCTTCCCCCGTCCCCACCTCCGAAGAAGGTTGATATTATAAACTCATTGCTTTACTAACTGATTTTCCTTGTGATAAATAATATAATTCTTGCTTTTCCTACTCTGCCAAAAAATGATCTTAAAAAAAAAAACTGCGCCAAAACAGAAAAATATACATTTTAACTTACAGCCTCATTATATTTGTCAATAATTTAAAAAATGTTTGACTCATCTGTTGTCACCAATAGCAAAAGCGTGGAGAAACATTCTAAAAGCTGTGCAAGAGATTCAAAAGAAGTCATGCGTTCGATTTCGAATGAAGAAAAAAGGGGACGAAAACTGGATACGTTTTGTGAAGAAAAATGGGTAAGAGCTATAATTAATTAAGCCGGGCGCAGTATGTTAAGAGGAATTAAGCTTGCTTTGGTTAACATAGTGATACGAAAGAAAAATTAAGTTGCACTTAACATTACACTTGCATGATTTTTGATCATGTGTTGTAATTTGGCAAAAGTTTTCGACTTGATTGCAGCGCGTAGAAATGTTTTTCAGTTCTTAATTATGTTTTTAATAAGGTGTTTTTCACCGGTTGGTCGTCAATATTTGAAGAAAGGAATGCAGGAACTTTCAATTGGTAAAGGCTGTAACAGCAAAGGAATTATATTGCATGAATTGATGCATGCACTCGGCTTCTGGCATGAACAATCCAGATCAGATAGACAAAGCTACCTTGAAGTGCTATGGGAGAACATAAATCCAGGTTAGCATAATGGCTTACTATGAACATAAAATACAAATATTAATATGATTTTTGTGTCTGCGAATCCAACATGGCGGCCCAAGATGGCGCCTTGACAACAAAACTTTAACCCACCACTTCTTAAAAACCACTGCAAATCAGAACCTCAAATTTGGGAATTCATTTTATTAACATTTAATCTTCAATATGACAAAAAATGAAGGTAAGTTGTGTTTTTGCTTTTTAGCCTTTCGTAACACCTTAAGCGCAACCTCCCGAATTGTCTCTTCGTCTTTTGTAGTCCTGATAGAACTTATAAATATAAACTGATCTGAAATAAATAAACATGGTTATATGTCATGATTTTCCTTGTACAGTCCAACCATGCTTTACGGCCACTAAGTAACGCTTACGTTACTCAACCCGATTAACCATGCCACAACAACGAACAACGGCCACTTTTTCCTTTACCAAACACCAGAGTTTTATAGAAGTTAACCTCGTTAATACTGACACACTTATTTGTCAATAGCCTTTTCCAGGCGTTTGGATAGTGGAGTGTGGCGCGAAGTCCCCAACCCCACCTCCCGCTTTTTTTCTGCTCACATGTCTCTGCGCCGTCCCCACGATCTGAACACCTGAAACAGGCTAATTTGTCAAGTGTGTGTTGAAATAAGCCTTACGTTTTTGTGAAGGCGAGAAACCTTCAGATCGGAAGCGTGTCAATGTTTAAAATGCCTCTCAGTCAGCTGAATAACGCCAGGCTTTGCGTAAGTTAGACATGGCGATGCTAATAATGTCCTGGTTTATTTCTTTTGTATTTTTCCGATAAAAGTCTTCTTTGTGACTTGATAACAAGACCCGCTTCATACAGTTTATACAGACACCCTAGCCCTGTTCAGTAATACGGAAACTTTCTGTGGTTCCATCAGTGTCCGTGCATGATAACTGGGTTTTTTGACTCTAAATCTGAAAGAAAACATTAGAGATAATGGAGTAGGTTTGGTAAATTTACCTTTTTAGTTTACCTAAACCATTAACAAGCATTTATTAGCTTTGAAGCCTCCAGCACTCACAAAGAAACAAAATACATCCATTGGCTCCACGCTAACAAAAAACGTTAAACAGTTTTGGCGAACTCTGACTTCTCTCTAACACCATTGTCTTTACACAGGGCAAATACACAATTTTAACCGCTACAAAAAGAAGAATTTGGATTTCTTTGGGGGGTCGTATGATTTTTCAAGCATCATGCATTATGGAAACTATGCTTTTAGCAAGAATAAAAGACCAACAATGTTGTCTGTTAAAAATCCGCTGCTTCAATTTGGACAAATTGCAAAGCTGAGCCCAACAGATGCTCTTCAACTAAACGCTCTGTACGACTGTAGAGACTGTGAGTACTTGTACCCTCGCCTCAGTCATACTTCCTAACTCTTACTGTGTAAGGTATGAAAGAGATGGGGACGACGAGATTTTTATTGAATTAGTTTTAGATACAGTCAAACCTCTTGTAAGTAACCACATAAAATGCGAAGACCAACTCCCGTAAGGACTGAGTCCGGCAGACTGAGTCCTTACGGGAGTTAGTCGCAAAAAAGAATCACAGGGGGTCTTTACCGAGAAGGGAAGGGAATGTGAGAACACATCTACTTTTTGGAAAAGAATTCGTTACATGCAACATTTAGTTACGAGTGTAGTTTTTATATTGTCACTTGCAGACTCTGAGTAGTGGAGTACAATACAAACATAGAGATCAAACCTTGAGTCGACGTGGTGTCTTACAAGAGGCAAAAACAAGGGGAATTCTACCAGAAAGCTTACTAGAGCTGGTCGTTACGTTTACGAAAGGTTCAGACTGTATCGAAAGTGCAGTGGTGGTCAATTTTGGGGTTGGTGGTCGCACATGGTGATTCGACTGTATTTCTCGGCTTTACTAAAATTGTTAATGCCGCAAAAGAATCTGCTGAGGTTTAAAGTCTTTATGAAAATACACCCCAAAAATGTAACCTTTCCTGATAAAAAGTCCTATGAGCTATTATTTGTGTCTAGAAGAGAAAGTATTTCAGTCATAACTTTCCCTTAATTGTTAGCAATTACCTTGTCTAGAAAGTGAATTTGACTGGTCAATTACTAACCAGTCAATCAGCGCCATCATGACAAAGATAGCGTTATTTTAGCGTGTAAACTGAAGCTATCCGTTAAGAATCCCCAGATTTAGTAATATGCAAATATGGGTATGTGCCGCCCCAAAGGGTATGGTTTGTTTTTTTGCACCGTTTCGGTCTTAAATCAGGTATACACTTTGCCCATTTTGATCTGGAATCGGATGTGGTTTTCGAGGGAACTACAGGTCGGAGTGTATGAACGTACTATTTTTAGTTTCAATTCCAAATGACTGAGAAATAAAGAAGGAGTAATATAGGAATTCGAATTTTATCTTGCGTTCTAATCTAAGTAATGACAACAAAATTTCTGGGAGACCAGGTCTGAAAATGGGTGTGGATTTTAAAGGCCAGGTCTGAAAACGGATGTGGAAAATACCACTTTTTGGTCTGAAATAGGGTCAATTTTTGGAGAACCGGGCGGCACACCCCCACCAAGAATTCCCTGGAGAACCCCCCGGGACGCGCTGGTACCTATGCCCTGGATGAATGCTTCTTCCCTTAAAGTCCCTTTAGGAAGGCCATAAAATTTAATATTTTTTTCTCTCCCAGCCAAAAAACAAGGCTGGAGTAGCTGGGGAAACTGGAGCCCCTGTGACACAAATTGTACAAAGGAAAGAGAAAGATTCTGTTCTGCAGATAACATTAAAAAGTGTCCAGGAGCTGACAGAGATCGCATTCAAATTCAAAAGTCCAAATGTCCAAACAAAGAATGTTATGGTAAGTAAGCGATGGGCAAGATATGTTCCTGATAAACTGCCTTTTTTTGCAATGATTGGACCGGTCACTGAGATTTGGCCACAATAAAAATATTTAAAATCAAATGAGGACTTCGACTGCTGTTAATAACCTATTATTGCTTTTAACAGCATTTAAAGGCTTCTGTCATTAGATTTTCAATGTAATTGTTATTTTTATATATCCTACTAAAGAACAACACGCGAAGAATTAGAGGGCCAAATATTTAAACGTAGTTTAACCAGTGTTTAACAAAAAAGTCATTTTTAATTTGCCTAACGATTTTATTTAAACATCATTTATTATGAACATGCATTTTTATGGAAGCATATAGAGAAGACTAGAAAAGCATTTATCTTCTTAAAAGAACCCACCAAAGAAGAGATCTGGAGGTTCAAATATTCGTTAAACCGCAGCTAGAGTTAGACTTTGTTTAAATATTTGGCCCTCATTTTGAGTGTCACAAGCCCACCGCAAGTGGGGCATTTTGCCGTTTAATATATCTCGAGGCTGCCAAATTCGTAATGCTAAGGGTCTTTGCCCTTCTAGAGACGGACTTGACCAAAAATGAAAGCCAAACAACCGGCGAATATTGCAAAAAGTCCATGACTTCAGGTTGACGTTCGTCGCTCAAAAACGTCTTTCCTTGAACTCCCCATTTAGCCTGTTCCAGGCTCCAAGATAGTGGTGAAAAGTCGTTCAGTAAAAAACGGGTATAAAAAGAATTGAGAAAAACGCCCGGAGGCTGGGAAGAGACAGGGTGCCGCCGCCGCCCCCTTTCCCAAGTCTCGCGAGTCTTATTTTCGCTTTCCTCGTCTTAATACGTCCCACTATACTGTCTGAGAGCCTGGCACAGGCTACTCCCCATTACACTCGTGGAACCTCTCCTTTTGGACACCTTTATTTATTACCTCTATTCAGGAGTTACAACATTTGGTCCTGAAAAAATGTTCACAAAATCTTTGTATTTGTTCCCTCTATTAAAGGGACATGTCCTCTATTCAGGGGACAGTTAGTCCCGAAGGTGTCCCCTGAAAAGAGCTTCCCCTGTATATGGCAAGGAAGTCTCAAGAAAACAAAATTAATCAGAAATACTAATTGTTGCTGAACCAGCAATTAGGCACAAAGAGTACGGTAGCTGACAATTGAAATTTCGCGAATTTGATTTGAAAGTTACGGAAGACGTGGCGTCGATCACCGTAGTTAATTTGCTTCTTGTTTATTCCTTGGTAGATATTGGGTTTTCATAAAATTCATTTACTTATTTATTTCAAATCTAGTTCCAATTGATGGTCATTGGGGTAGGTGGGGTCCATGGAGTAAATGCTCTCGAAATTGTGGTCAAGGATATCAATACCAGTCACGCAAGTGTGACGACCCTAAGCCTCAATATGGTGGCAAGTACTGCAGTGGTCCGCTAGTAAAGATACGACCTTGTACGCTGAGGAAAAGTTGTAAGTGACTATTTAACAATTTTTCCTCGAGCCGGAATGGGCTCTGAGTCAATAGCCTATGAGGCCGAAGGCCGAATGGACTATTGACTCAGAGGCCATGGGGGCGAGAGGAATAATTGTTTTAGTAAAATCCAACTAGTTGGTCAAAAATATCGAGAATGAAAAAATTTTAGCTAGTTAAAGCCCGCGCTGCTTTCCGCTACCTGAGTGGGCTACAACACATAGCCTAGTAGTAGCTCGACCAATCAGAACTCAGCATTGATAACAGACCACTAGTTGGATTTTACTAAAACTGTATACTAACACTTAACTATAACTATATGTACCGTTTTAACAGCCAACTTTGACACCAATGAAAAATATGCAGTTGTCTTTGTCTGGTGTGTTTGGGAAACGAAGGTTGTTTTGCGCCTGGTCACTATACCAACATATGCATCAAAACGTTCGGCGCCACATTTTTTTTCACATTATGTTTTCGCAGAATGTAAGCTGTTTTGTTGGTTTTTCCCTTTATTTCTAATTTACCTTGAAGTTAATTTGTAGTTTTCCTTTTTATATTTTCTTATTACATTTCTTTTATTGTAGTTTTCACCATCACTGTGCATGGCTATATGCCTGAACTGTTTCATGCGAAAGAAAAATAAATTTTTCTGAGTTGAAGCTCAATAATACTTGTCAAATTGACTGAACCACCGCAGTAAGGTGATTCAGGCTTCATAAGTAAAATCGTTAAAGATTATATGTTCAGACAACCTCTTCAAAAATCTTGACTTAATAAAATTCATTTATTGCCAAAAACGACGATTTATACGAAAAGTTATGACTCTGTGAAATTATCAGCTGTATCTAGGCTAGTGTTAGACCTCGACCAGCCTCTCTTTTTCTTCAGATTTAGTAAGGGGGGTGCTCGCGCGCGCGAGACGCGAGAAACAAGGGCGCGTGGTCATTTGCGTGTCTTGGGCGTTTTGCTCAACGGTCCAAGAAAAAAGAGAGACTGCTCGTAGTCTAGGCTAGTGTGTACTGCAATACAAGTATCATCCCTTGATGATTATATCAAGTAGTTGACTCAATTCATTACAACAGGTAAATGGCGAAGAAAACGAATTGCACTGATCACTGGACAGGACAGAAAGTCGGCAGTTAACAAGCCAATGCCTGAGAAACTCCAGTTGCACAGCAACCGACCGAATACTGGACGCAAGTCAAGTTAACTGCAAAGAACAGCTGAAACGTTTATATAAGTCTTCAGGCTCTTTTAAAGCAGAACGTTTCGTCGGAGATTAACATGGCACAACAGGAATGAGGGTTGTACCAAGCTCTCCACATTGGGGATTCAAAACAGGATCAAGTTTAAGTACCGACCTATTACATCACATTATTTATTCTATTCTCTCAGTTAGACGGAGTTTAAATTAACTGCCGGCGCTGGCTCTGGCAGCCAAACAATTTTTTTAAAAAAAAACTGGGCAAAGAACTTTCTTAGGACGTCTTGTTAATTTTTTTTCAACGTTTGATACATTGTCAAATACCTTTTGTTTTACTGATTTCCGAGTGAGCGTTCCAAACAAAAGATACGAATTTCTCGTATTTGTCACAATGGTTTTGCTAGGGGGCGAGACTTTTATAGCCTCGAGAAATACCTCTTTGTATTGGCAAATACAAGCTTGAAATCCACAACGAAAAGCAGTTGTTCTCACTGACTCTTAACACAGAGGCTGTTAGATTTTTCCTTTTTCCGAATCATTTTGTACAATCTTGGTTTGTTATGATGGTGGACTGCCGATTTCCCCATTATACATTCCACCATGGCTGGTGTAATTATGATAAAATTTCGACCCTGCAACACAGCCTCCAGTAGCTCAGTGGTTAGAGCATACCAAGTAGAGCTACGAGGGTCGTAAGTTATGGTGTTAGATTTCTCCTTCTTCCAAATTATGGAGTGCCGGGAATGGGTACTTTTTGAAATTTGAGATGGGAGTGTGCTGCCGGAACCTGGTAACCCTTAGTCTACACCAGAGGCCAGACCCTGTTCAACTGCAATTTTGCAACTTTGTTCTAAACTATGCATCAAAGATCCTATCCTCCATAGCTGGCGGTTTGTTGTTTGGCCGCCCAAGTGGTGGAAAAAAAGTTGAGAAAAGGCGAACAAAGCGCGCGCGAACGAGGAATTACAGCCTTTGTACCCTCTGGTCTTTTCCCTTTACCGGACTAAACTGTTCAAAAACCCTATCCCTTACAGCTGAGCATAAATTTTAATTAATTTATTTTTATATTTTAATATTATTTTTATATGACACTTACAGCCCATGCGTGGTAATACCTCTTCCCGGATCCAGGTATTCTTTTGGTGTTGCCCATATACAGTTTTATTACCTATTTTTGTATTTCAGTCAATTCTGTGACTCGTTTCGACTCGTTGATAAGATTTAGTCGGTGTGTTGGCTGATGTAGCCTTGGCGCGGCAAGAAAGAGGAGAGTGTTTTTTGCTGAGAATGAACGAAACATATTTACATTGACAAAATTATTTTTGAATTTCAACTAGAAAAAAGTCACCAGCCGGCGTAGTCCCTTACGGTTCATTTCTTCAGTTATTGAATTTCCTATTAAGCCTAATGGAGAGACCAGGAGTCAAGCGGGCACCAACTTAACGCTGCAATCAGGTCACTAGAGACATGAAGCTACGGAAACTAGGTAACAATGCGGCCGCATCACGGAAGAACCGTCTAAGGGTGTTCTCAATCGATCATCTTGATATTCTGGAATAACAATACGCAAGACTTTTGTTGCAAGCCTCCAATTCCGTAATTTGTTGAACCACTTATAAGCTACATACAGTGGAATATTTTATTTCAAGCAGATTTTTCTAGATAATGCAATGAAATGAACGCCATAATATTGTGACATCTAGAGTTAATGCCATTTGATTTATTCTCATTTCGGAATATACAGTACAGTGTCAAAGAGGCAGCAATACCTGGTTACAGTCGTTACAGCTAAAAGGCTCAAATGACTGGTCGGTCATTTTTTTAAAAGCTTTAAATTGCAGTGCCATCAGTACTAACCAGTCATCAGGCTTTTCTTTCTCCTGAGAACACTTGATAAGGTCATTGATTAACTATGAGATTCACCTATCTGGGTGGAATGTTAATAGTTTCAGGCGTTTTTAAACTACAGTGAACCTGTTGTAGGAACAGTTAACGAGAAACGTTCTTAACGCTTGAGTGAGACCAATATTCAAGCTAATTCATATTTAATTTGGCGTAGCCGGTAAAAGCATGGCCTAAAAGTCGGAGTATTACAACAAAACAGAGAGAAACAGTAGTTTAGAAGTTGAAGGTTTACTTTTCAATATACACATCGGTAAGTGAAGCATTTGTCGTCTTGATCACCCGATTAAACTGTAAGTAAATCGTCTTGCCAGACATTTTATTCATACCACATTTTATTAGCTGTTAACCTGTAAATCTTTACTCTTTGAGGTGATATATACTTTCACTGCACATATATTTTTGCATGAAACTTATAGGCTTATACATCTTATATTTCACTGGGCAGAATTTATTGGCTTGAAATATGATTCTATTCACACTTGTTCTCGTAATGAGCGTGGAATTTGAATTCACCGAATCGATTCCGTGGAAAGAGGCTGTCAATGAAGACGGTAAATATGTGACTCTTTCTCTATTTAATATGCTGGACAAACAGCTTAATGAACACTTTGTTTTAATATTTGTTGTCCGAAACGGTTAATCATTTTATTGTGTCCACCTGCTTGTTAAGTCTTCTTTTGCTCAAAAACTGATGATTAACTGAGGGGCGCTTGGATTGTAACCTTCAGTAATTACACTAGCGAGCTACTAATAAATTTAGCGAGAGGGCAGCAACCTGGATGAAAAGCTTAGAATCATATTCTAACAGTTTCTGCATATCATGGCATGGTTTATCGTTGCATTGCACCGTCTCAGAGGGTTTTCATAGGTTAGGAAAAGTCGTTTCTGCCGGTCTTGCTCCATATTCGACTTCAGTAACTCCTGACCTGTAACCATTAGTGAGGTCCTTCATCTTAAGAAAAGTGTCAAAATCTCAATTTAGCCTCTCAAACGAGAATTGAAAACTCAAGAATGTCTATGTCGGTACAAAGTCTTGGGAAAGAGAAAAATCAAATGCGGAGGATTGTCTTAAGATGTTATTTCAGTTTATTGAATTACTGACGGCTGGCGTTGAAATATGTTTTTGGCATTTCTTTATATTTTTGCAATCAAATGTAATGTGTTTTTTTAATAGATAACCCAGGTGGCCTAAAAGACAACACTGTTATGGATAAAATTGAACAAGCAAATGAGGGTAAGATTCTAGGGACAAAAACAACAAAGTTCCTATGATATTGCAATGATGTTCCAATGCTGTTGCTTGCAAGTTCTCCATTTATGGCGAGAATGGAGAGAAGGGCGCACCGCGAGAGAAAGCGCGAGTGAGGGGCGAACCCGCGAGGTACGTGAAGGTGGCATCTCGCGACCCCCCCCCAAATGGAGAGATTTGATCGCAGGCTAACGCCTTTTACACTTGGGCTCTGCAGGACTAATCACAATGGTCCCCTCGCAGCAATCTTTACCTTGTCCTCAGGGCTAAGGGAAAAGCCCTGGGAACGAGGTTGTCCGTTTCAATAACGTCACGCAACGTTCCTTCTCACAATGTGACGACACTAAAACTGCTAATTTATTGCTAATTTAACGGCTGCGAGGAAGGGAGGGAGGGAGACTAAAAACTAACTTGACTTTATAATTAATCAGCGTCACTAAAAAGTCATCTCTGTTTTTGTAGATAGACTTGCTTTCTCGACCTAAGCACCGAGATACCCTCTGAGTGCAAGCATTGAGGCCTTTTAATAATGGGCCTTTTAGGGAGAATGAAACAAATAATTTAAATGGAACATAATATGGCTAATAATTCCCAGTTGGTAGGAGGCGAACTAGTTGGCTTCTTACAAGCGTGGCAGAGGATTTGATCTTGGAACTATCGAGAACAAATCCAGCTGGCGGGTCATGCAAGACTTGAACTCGGGCCTCCGAATGACAAGTCATGACAAGTCCAGCACTCTTACTGACTCGGCCACGGAAACGAAATAAATAAAAGCAAGAAAAAGAAAAAAAATCCTAATCAAGCTAGACAAACTGATCATCACTTCACTACTTTTGTTCCCAGAGGACCACGCAGAAAAGAAAGTCAAGAATATTTTCGAAGGTGACATTCAGCTGACCTCGAGTGACAAGGATGGTGTCGACACAAGTAACACCAATTCTGCAGACACAGCTGAAGTAGATGTAGATAGTGTTGTCACCAAGCGTAAAGCCATTAGTTCTCGCCGCCATCTTTGGGTCAGGAAAGTAGTTCCCGTTGAACTGGGTCCGGGAGCATGTAAGCCTACCTGAAATAAAATTTTAATTTCCAACTTTGTTCCCTATTTCTCTTCTTCCCGCGCCCCGCTTCGCTCCAAAAGAAGAGAGATTCTGGAAACGAGGATATTCAAACTCTGTACAAAAATATTTCTTCTCGAGCCCTGATTCAAATGGACATCAACGTAACAATAAACTTGAAAGTCTTTGCAGAGAAATGATCGTTGTGAAGGGGGGTGACATTTAAAGACGGCAGGAGTCGAATCTATGACCTTATGATTTTTAGTCCAGATAAGTCTACCACTGAGCTACAGGAAACTCGCGGAAGCTGAGGCCAATAAACGAGTAGCTGATTTGTTACTCAGTTTCAAATTTTTAGTCTTTCCTTGAAAAATACGCGCTAACAAACAAAGTAAAGAGACTCAGATAGAACTTTATTTTGAGGACTATACTATAAATAATCGAGCAAAAGGGTTTGACTTGTACTAAACTTTTATGTTTATCATTACACACAGCGAGAGCTTGGAATAATATTTTAAAAGCTGTGGACGAAATTCAAAAGAAGTCATGCGTTAAATTCCGAATGAAGAAAGACGGCGACGAACATTGGATACGTTTTGTAAAGAAAAGTGGGTAAGAACACTTGGACGTAATGTTCACCTAGAGAAAACGTCTGAGGCATGGTTTCTTGATTTATTTAGACATAGAAACATAGGTTGGATGAAAAAAGATAATTAGTTAATGTAACTGTCTTTGTATTTTTTCTCAAAACAATGGATGCTTATATTTGCTGAAAACGCCCCGTGCAACAAAAGCAACTTTCAGCGGTAATGATCTTTACCGAGCATGTGCTTTCTAACGAGATCTCTCAGGCAATTACGGAGGTAAAACTGTGTGAAAAATTGCGCCGCCGGTCAGTAACACCTGTTTGAGATCAAAAAACAAAAACAAATAAATTTTTTTGCGCTATTAAAAAAGTTTAAAAAGCTAATATGTAAAACTTGTTGCATATATGTGAAAGTATCAACCCTAGCTTTAAGCCTTTTTTGCTTAGGTTTTGCCAGTTTTTCTCGTTGTCGTCTTCACGAGTGCATGATTTTTTAGTTGACATGTATCTTTAAAAATTAAATTGCTAAAAAAGTTATAATGGCTTGGAAGAGGGTCTACAGGGAAATATTGTTAACTATAATGATTTCTTCGAAACTGAGATTATGTTGACGATGATTCAGGTCTCTAGCGTAGCCATGTAAAGTTTCAAGTCAACGTAAAGACTCAGTACTTTTTGACATTCGTCTTCATCTGTTATTTCATATGGTGACAAAATATGATATTCCAGAACAAAACTTTTAACTAAACGTATAAATTGAAATCATCATCATCAACTACAACAACAACTTCGTTTTTAAAAGAGCAATGTAAATTTTTTGGACGAATGTTATGCCTCCCTTCCCTGGCTTGTTAAGCTATAAATTGTTGGAGGAGTAAGCAGAATAAAAATTTAGCTAAAAAGGGAAAAAACTTTAGTAGTAGTATGTCAAAGTATACAGTCTGAGTTTGTATAAATTAATTAGTGAATTCAACTATAACAAAAAGTACGACTGATATGCGTCACTAAGTGACCAAGCACAATTTAACGGGTGATAATGGATATTGGCGAGGCTCTGCTTTTTCTCTTTTTGCGTTTTTTTGGACCGAGTTAAAGCTGATGTAATCATGATGGTTATAAGGGTACTAATCCGTTAGTTAGCAGGAAGAGGCGATTCTTGCATGCTTATGTGTGATCACGTGGCCTGTGTCAGGCTCTCAGATAGTATAGTGAGGACGTATTTAAAACGAGCACTATCTCGGAGCCTGGAACAGGCTAGTGATCACATATAGCTACGCGTAGTGATTAGGCTAGTAATCACGTAGACTGCGTCTTCCTTTCTCATTTTTTAAGGTGTAACTCGCCCGTTGGCCGTCAATATTTGAAGAAAGGGATGCAGGAATTGTCAATTGGTGATGGTTGTAACGAGAAAGGAATCATTTTGCACGAATTGTTGCATGCACTTGGCTTCTGGCATGAACAATCCAGATCAGACAGAGATGACTATCTTCAAGTATTGTGGGAGAACATCGATCCACGTGAGCCCATATGAATATGAATTGAAAATGAAATACAAATATTTGCTTGATTTTAGGGCTGAACCATATTCCCGAGGTGGCTCTTTGCGCTTGTTGTAGCCTCAATAGAATTCGAATTTAAAATGATCTGAAAATAAATAAATAAATAAACTGAAAAAACGAAGAGGGCAAAAGCAGAGTAGTCGGAGAAAAACCTCTTGGAAAAAGGGCGGGAGGAAATAACAAACTCGACACACTGGCTTCGATCGTCTTAGGGATTCGAGCCCTTGGCCACTTTGATGGGAGACGAGTGCTCTCACCACTACGACACTCCCAGGTTAGCGGATCGAATACCGAGTTGAGTCTAGCCTCCTCCATTGCGATTTTTCTTAGGCTACCTGTCATTGCCATCTTTCAGACCAGATGTTAGTTCTTTTAAAGAAAACCGGTACTTTTAGGTCGTAATATAATAGCATCAAATCCAGGAAGCCGGTAGGGAAACTTAGATTTGCTGTAGCCAAAGAAAAAGGACGGGGCTCCAAATAACATTAACAGCAGCGAAATAATCTTCTCCTGACTCTTTACGACTATTCTTTCTACTCAGAACAATTACATAATTTTAACCGCTACAGAAAGAAAGACATGGACTTCTATGGGGGATCGTACGATTTCTCAAGTATCATGCATTATGGAAACTATGCGTTTAGCAAGAATAAAAGACCAACAATGTTGTCTGTCAAGGATCCGCTGCTTCAGTTCGGGCAAATTGCAAAATTAAGTCCAACAGATATTCTTCAACTGAATGCTCTCTACGACTGCAGAAGTAAGTATTCGTACTCAGGTCTAATCATAACTTCCAACACTGACTGTAAGATATCTGGGTTCTAGAGAACGATTAGATTACAGAGCGTTGTCACTAACGTGGTCAGTACGGTGATTATGCAAATTTATTGGAGCAAAGTTTGTAAGAGTTCTTGCAAAGGATTGGTTTGGAACACCAACATGATGGCCTCGACGTTATGTGAAAACGCTTTATGATAGATGAGGCTTTGTAATTAAGGCCGGTAAATTTGAATTCATTATTTTATAAAGGGGTGTAGATGGATGTTTCAGCATGAGTTTGAAATAATTTCTTTAAAAAATCAAAAAAGGATGGATGAATTTAACAGAAAAAGAAATAAGGAGAAATCTTGAAAAAAAAAATGCAATAAGGAGAAAGCTAATAAAAATATGCAGTCTCTTGCGACTATATCTTGCGAGAAACGTATGCCTTTAACCATATTTGTCTCTTCCAGCTAAAAAAAAAGGCTGGAGTAATTGGGGAAACTGGAGTCCTTGCGACAAGAATTGTACAAAGGAAAGAGAAAGATTCTGTTCTGCAGATGATATTAAAAAATGTCCAGGAGCTGACGGAGATCGTATTGAACTTCAAAAGGCCAAATGTCCAATGGATGAATGCTATGGTAAATAAACAATTAACTGCAATCAAAATTTAGAAATCGATGTGGTCCGCGGGGTATTATATAGACACATATAAGGGAATAGAAGGGAATACAAGACAGTCTTGGATTCCGGATTACAGATACTGGATTCCGGATTTTTTGTCGGTGGAACTTGGATTCTGGATTCTATTCCGGATTCCACAAGCAAAAATTTCCCGAATTTCGGTATCCGGACTTCCCTTATGTGGGGCGACAACGGCCAAGCATCTTTTGAACGTACCAAAATTTGAATCTGACTACAGGCTTTAAAAGAAACTAGTTGAGTAAAAAAATACAAAATATTGGAATAAATACAAAAATAATAAACTCGCAAAGAGAGCCCTGACCTACCACGAGGCTTTATAAGGCCTGGGCTCCCTAGAGACTAACAAAAGAACAGAAACAGAAAATACAAAAGTACTAACTCGCGGATTTTTGTTTCCAGTGAAATCAGTCATATACTAAAATAATTTTTTGGTCGAAGTTAAGAAGCAGAGGAAAATGGCTATAATGAAAAAAGGTTTTGGCAACTGATTTTATTCTGATTTTGCAATGTTTGTTTGTTATTCTCGGGTTTTTTTTTCTTTTTTTTCAAATCTAGTTCCAATTAATGGTCACTGGGGTAGGTGGGGTCCATGGAGTAAATGCTCCCGAAATTGTGGTCAAGGTTATCAAACCCAGTCCCGGACGTGTGACGATCCTAAACCTGAATACGGAGGCAAGTACTGTAAAGGACCTCTGGTCAGGATACGACCTTGTATGATGAGAAAACAATGTAAGTAACTATCAAAATACAAACATTTTAAAGCAATTCTCAGACCACTAGCCTGCGCAACAGACGAAACTAACCCTCTGGACCAAGTTGTTCAAAGCTGGGTTAAGATAACCCAGGGTTAGTGCAAAATTTGAATTCAAATATGAAAGCTCAAAAAGGAAATTCCTCTTGTCTACAATTTGATGATTGAATGCCCTAAAAGGAATAGAGAAAATTATCGGAGAAAAAGCCTTTGAAACCGGGTGTTAGCGCTAATCCGCCTTCTAACAACTGGAGCCAGGTTAAGTCCGTCACTACCCGGGGTGCGTACTTAACCTACGTCTACTACGCAGGCTGCAGACATGCACCCCTTAACACAAAGTTTGTCGTTGTCAAGAAATCAAATGAAGTAAGGTAAACGAAACTTAGTTTTCTTTTTCTTCTTGTATTTTTTAAGCTTCCCGGTCATCCTTTTTTTAAAGTCCTTGTACATATTAACAGATTCAGTTTATTTTTATTTTGATTATGTAGTCATTACTTACGCAGGGTAACTGTACCCAAGTGCATGCTGATAGGGCCACCCTGCTTAAAAAAAATTTGAGTCACGAACTGACTAAAACCGCTTAAACATATGACTAGAAAATAGTATGAAAACTTCACACTTAAAATTTTACCCCACATAATTATTGTCAAAACGCGAGAGGGATTTTTTCAAATTTATAATAGAGACTTTTAGATTCGAGGAAACGATTTAACTTCAAGTTTTTCGGTCTTAAAATATAGACACCCCGGAAAGCTTCATTGAATTTTTTTTCCTCAGAATAGTTAGCACGGTTACTTTTATCGAAGGAAATTTTAAAAGCCCTCTGCCATTTGCAATATGATAAAACTTCAACATTTGGTAACTTGTTTCCGCCACTAAGACATTCTCGCTAAAACCCGTAGCAGAATGATGGCAGGTACCGCGTTTTCCCGCCAAAGACGCAGGTTCATGCGCGCGCACTACTTAGTATCACGTAGATGTCGTCGTCTTAGAATCTAAAGGTCTCTAATAGTTTCGACCACAACAAACAGGTTCGGTAAGAAAAGAAGTAGCGCATGTAAATTTATCAAAATAGGTAGTTGGAAGCGAGAACGAACTGCAACGATTTCTGAAAATGGAGGAGACAGAACAGCAACAGCATTGCCTTGGAAACTCAAGTTGCAAAGCGACCGACTGGATACTGGACCTGAATCAAGAAGTAAATTGCAAACAACAGCTGAAAAGTAATGTCGTCTTCACACTCTTCTGCAGCAGAACTGTCCCCTGTGGATAAGGATCACGCAACAGAGATTTTGTTACTGTGACCAAGAAAAACAATTTCAAAAACAATTTTAAAAGGTTTTTAGTACTGAAGTATGACCACACCCAATTGTGTATGTTCTCAGTTCAACCTTTTTTTTGCTGCTGGCAAATCACGTTCCGGTAATTAGCCTGTTGACTACAACCAAACAGGTTTAATTCTTTAAAATTTTTTACTAAAGCCTCGAAAGCCAAGATCATCACAGTTCAGTGCAGGGTCCAGACCTTGATATAAGGGGGGGGGGGGGGGGGGAGCGGTTTCCAAATAAATTTTTTTCGGCCGTTCGGGCCTCAGGTTCGTCTAAAAATAAGGGGGGAGGCGGGGCCTCTCCCCTGGATCCGACACTTCACGTTTAAATCTTTGACAATAATCTGTTGATTTACTTAATTTCAAGTGATCGAACAATTAAGGAAATACGCATTCATGTTGTCAGAGTCGTCAAAAACATTTTTGCTTGAGTGCAAAGCATTGTAAAGGAACAAAACCTCTGATGGGTCTTGATTTGAGGTACATAAAATACTTCCTTCCAACAATTACCTTTTATATCATATACATATGTATTTGCATGGCTTTAAGTTCATAGCTCAGACAGGAATAAAAACTCACTGAATAAACCCCTGAGACCTTTGAGAGCGGCTACGTCAAAGGGCGCTTTTCATTCAGCCCAAAATTCAAGAAATTTTGGTTAGAAGTCAAATGGAACGGTCCATTTCGATTCGGTCCTACCAGAATATTTGGATGCACCTTTGGATAGGATAGGATAGGATAACTGCTTTATTATCAACAGAGCGCCTACAGACACATGTGTTTACAACGATAACAAAGATTTTAGTGCAATAATTACAGAGGTGTACATTTGTAGAATTTATACAACTAAACAAGGTTATATTTAACGCCTCTATCTCTTTCGCGGTTAAATATACAGATGGAGGTGGTCAACTTTGACCGGTGGGGTCACTTTGGTCGGTCGGACCGTAATGTCCCTTTCCATTTGACTATTGTCGTGGTCCCCAGTACCGTCCATCCTGTTTAGGAGTACAATAACCAAACGCGCGGGAAGCTACTTGGGTCGGGTCTGTGTGACTTGTAAAAGTTACCTTTCCTTTGGGCACGTGTAATTTCTGAAATTTGAGACCGGAATTTGTGTAATGGAAAACGCTTAAAGTATTTGCTCTCACCCCCCGTTTTCAATCAACCTCTTGCTTCTTCAGTGGCTCTTCATGCAGTGAGTAGATCACCTTAGATTTCCTAAAAACTAAAAGGATTCATGAATGTTTAATGGTTACACGACAGAATTTTGTCCAGCAGGCATAAACATTAGAAATGTGTTCAAAATACTAACTGTAAAAATGAAAAGTGCTATGTATTTTTTAGGTAGGAAACCCGGGGGGGACTCCGCACATGAAAGGGGTGGGGATGCTCGTCGAAAATTTTGAATGAAACCCCTAAAGGAGTCCGATCTGGGCGTGACCCAAGCTTTTTTTGACCCCTAAAAGAGACCATGTTGAAACACAGACAATATATGATATTTATACTTTTCGCGTGCAACCCTAAACGAGACCTTCACCGCTAAATATGATGGCGTTTTGCCCAGAACACCCTAACTGAGACCAAAATCCGAAATTTACAGCCCTAAGCGAGACGACGAGCATCCCCACCCCTTTCATATGCGGAGTCCCTCCCCCGGGGTAGGAAATTAGCAAACATAATTAAACTAGTCAGTCCGCTAATGAGCTGAAGGGCATGTTGTTGGGGTGGTGGACTATCTGGTATTTGTGTACTGATTACTCCCTTCATATTCTAAACTCTCGTTCCTCGTTCGTTACTCATGGAAACGCTTACTACGCAGGCTAAATTTTTTTCAGCCCCCAAAACTTAATATTTCCTAATTTTCCATAATTATAAACATCCCCGTCCAATTTGTATTCATTAAAAACATGCGAAAAATCATCCAAGAATTCTCACCCATTTATTGAACCAATGACTACAACGACCTTATAGAACCATTTTGTTGTTTAAGTGAGATCTTGGCTAGATGTGGAAGAATAAGGGGAGAAATAAACGAAAAAAAAGGCTTCTGACCAGAATCCCCTCTTAATTTTAGACTTTATTTTTTCCGTGATGTCGAGCAGATCTTTCTTCACTAGTTTGAAATAATGATCTCTCAAGCCCACAAGTAAGTCTGAGCCTATGAGACCCTCCAAGGTGAAACGTCTTCTTTGTTTTTAAGTATTAAACTTGGCCGCTGTTTTCTCATGTTTGTTTGTCTTCTCACTGAGAGTCCCCCACAAGAGCCTCGCTTTCGCGCGAAAACGAGCTCTCGACCTAGGCCGTCCGGGAATACAAAGGCAAGTTGTGAACACCACAAGTTTTGGTTCCGGTTGAGTATGTCCTTTGGATTTACATGTAAATTCGCCTCCATACAATAGAGAATGTGCTGTCTTACTAAGTAGTACAAGGTGAGTTTCTTCAATTATTTTTCATATAAGAAGGAATTAGTTTTCATTTAGAACTGCAACTGTAATGCCGGGCCGTTTATTTATTGAGGAGCATAGCACTGGAAGAAAAGAAAAAGTATTACTCAAGTTACATAACTTTTCACAAAATTCTTCTTGTCTGATGAGCAGCGCGCCAGTACACAGTCGAATGAGCTGGCAAACTTGGGAAAGCTTAGAAGAGAGTATTGCATCCGAGTTACTTTAAATAGGTGCATTGCCGAAATAGTAAATATACTATGCTTGGTAACGCTCGAGGGCGTTTTGAAAACATTTAAATATGCACAACCATTAGATAAAAATTTAACCCCTTATTGAAGCCGTGATCTGACACAAATTGACATCTTTTCATTCAGCATACATGTTGACTACTGTCGAAAGAATTCGAAAGGACGGATATTTTTAATAAATATACTCGCGTATCTGGTTAGTCATCCGAGCTACCAACCATGGCTGTGCGATTGTTTTATCCTTAGGTCTGGGTTGCAAGAAATCAATCATGCCTGCATAATTTGCTGTACTTACAACTAGTTGCAATAACGCCGTTATAGAAAACTGAATGCAAAAAAGGTTAATCAGACTTACTGACAAACCACCCTTGGGTTCATCAATTTGCAATTTGCATTGCTGCAAATGACTGCATCCTATAATGGTTTATTAGTAAGCCTAATTAATTTCTACCGGGCCTTTTCCTTTTTTCTTTTAGTATTTTCCTAAGACAAAATTATTGCCATTCGGTGTAGCAAACTAAATTTCAAAGCAAGCCTTTCGTCAGGTACCCGGGGCACCCAGTGACTGTTTTCTATAAAATATCTGTTCAGAGAAGCAAAA